TTAGACTATATTACCTAAGTCTTTTTGTCATTTAGGATCGAGGTTCTGTGTTTTCTTTCCTCCCCTAGCTAGGTAAGTTCGCATATCTAAGTTTAGGATACCTTTTGCGGGATTTATTCTGGCACCCTATATCGAGGCCTGATGTTCTCTGGCCCCGTCAGGGTAGTCTTCCAGGAAAGTCCAATTTAATATATGCATATGTCTCTCGAGGATGACATGCTGTTCCTCCCTGAACCATCGATAGCCCCTGCTCTTGGCAATTCAACATCATTGATCGACATGATGAATCGGGATCTCTAAAGCAAGGACCAAGGCTGACTGTATTTATCTTAGATCATCTAACAAGTTTCATATCATGCTTCGAGGCCAATGACTGCATTAGAATGTCAATTGTATCAAGCTACCTTAGTCGAGGGAGTTAGCTGTCTGCTGTCTCTCACACGTGACACATTAGCCAGCGGGGTCATCCACTCTCATCATGAGCAATTGTCAGCTTCACCAAACATCCAGCGATAACAGCCAACCACGTCGTCTGCCTATACTCACCCCTGTAGCCTTATCAACGCCCATGGCTACACGTATCAACGCCCCTAAAAAGGTCCGCCTGGCCTGTCGTCGCTGTCGGGTCCGTCGCATCAAGGTGAGAACCACTGCCTGCTTCCATCAACTCGACTCTTCAAGCTAAAGTGTTTCCTCCTTGGCTCTTGTTAGTGCGATGGTCAAGTACCCGCTTGCACCAACTGCGCAAAGTCTGGGCAGGTCTGCTTGGACGTGGACAGTCAGAACTCTGATGTTGTCATTCCCCGCAAGTGAGTACGCGTCAAAACATCGCAGAACATTGATTGACAACTAAGTTTCGTGTCTGCCGCCCGTGAAAGGATACAGTGGTTGGAAAATATCATTAAAGAACGTCTACCTGATGTAGACCTACGTTCTGGCCCCCAGGTTGATCCTTCTTCCGACCCCACGGCCTCCTCTCAGGATGATAGAGTCCCCGAGGAAGCGGACATCACAATATCATCAATTCCACCAGCAGAAGCAGTTTCACGCAAGCGGTCAGCAGAGACATCAGGACAGTCTGATCAAGACGAGTCCTTTCCGGAACGCGCTCATTCTGTCGCCGTCAACCTGGGCATGCTTTCTCTCAACATCGATTCACCACAAAAGCACTACCTTGGCTCAAGCTCAGGACTTCTCTTCACAAATCTCATTGGAGCATCCCCACCGAGTGTAGAGTCCACGCCTCAGGGCCCTCAAGGGGACAAGTATGCCGGGGAGCTCGAATGGAGTGATGATGCTGTTGCTCAAGACCAGAACAGGAAGTACCATCAAGAACTATACAATCTTCTGAAACAAGTAAGTCCATCACCTGTGGTGCGTTAATTTAATCTCTAATCATCGACAGGAGTTACCGTCAAAGCATAATGCACTCGTGTTGATGCACACATATATCCGTTGGATTCATCCTGACTTTCCCTTCCTGGAGCCCCTCTCTCTATTCAGTGCCGTCGAAGCCATATATTCCTCCCTTGATGGCATTCTGGAATGTGAAATTTCTTCCCATGGATGGCCCGCTAACATGCCGCCGTTCCGGTGGAACGGTAGAGTAGTAGCCCCGGGAACTTCCAATGAAGAAGGCGTCACCTTGTCAGCCGTCGCCTTTATTCTCTTCATGGTCTTCAATATCGGCGCTCTGGTCAAAGTGCGATCACGAAACTACGACTTTCCACCGCAACGCTTTTACCGCGCTGCCCTCCATTTCTCAAAAGAAGCTTTCGCTCATATTACTTTGTCCTCTATCCAATGTTTGATGATGTTAGTTATGCATGGTATGCTTACGCCAGCAGAGGTCAACTTGTGGACATTAGTGCATCTTGGGTTGGCCTATTGCGTCGAGACTGGTATACATCGGGAACAAAACCAGCCAAATCCAGACGACTTTGCTATGCTACAAATCAGACGATTCACTTTCTTTACGATCTACTCCCTGGATAGGTAATGTCGCACAAGTTCGGGTATCTGAGATTCTACTGACTATGCCAGGTCCATCTCATCAATACAGGGAAGGCCACTTGGCTTTCGGGACGAAACGTTCGATGTAAAGATCCCAGAAGTGTTATCAAATCCAGACGAGGGTATGCAGGGACCACTTCCACCGTCATTCGTAACAGCAGTAACCCATTATTCGTCATATCACTTCAAAATGGACCGTATCGTGTCCGACATAAAGCTTCACCTGTATCACCTGCCTGGCGATTCTAGCTTTTTCCCATGGCCAGACAATCCCACAGAACAACAGGCAAGAATTCAGCAGACTTTGCAAAATTGGTGGCATGAGGTCTCCAGCGACGGATTTGAGTATCCCAGTCTTGATGGCCGGCAACGGGAGGTCTGGAAAATAAAACTCGGACTGAATTACCACACGACGATGGTGTTACTCTTCCAACCATCCCAAGTCATTCGGCAACCAGCTTCAGAGGCGCTGCAGGCTTGCTTCGACAGCGCAGCTGGTATTTTAGACGGGTATCAACGACTTCACGATCTTCATGGCCTTCATTTCGGATGGCGGGCCGTGCAGAACATATTTGCAGCTGGTGCGACACTGATCTACTCGTTCTGGACATCTCAGGCTGTTCGAGAGAAGGCATCACCAGAGACAATGTCAAAGAGTTTGCGAAGCTGCTCTAGTCTGCTGACAATTGGAGGCGAGTGGTGGCCATCCGCAAGAAATGGCCAAGCCAGCTTTGGGTCAGTCGCTGATTTGACCATGAAGAGGCTCTATATGGCAGATGCGTCCAACAAAGCTCCGCGTCTATCCCTACAACACGCGGCCTCTAGTAGACCAAGACATGGGGCCGGTATCGATCCCCCCGGAACTCACCACCAGCCTCAATTATCAGACGACACTGGTCAATCGGTAGTGATTGACAGTGACACAAATGCAGCGTGGCAAAATCTAGACTTGGATGTCGGAGGTAATCCCGACCAATTGGACTGGACAGCAATTGAGGGCGGATTCGATCCAGAAATTGAGATGTTCCTGGAGGACTTCAACAGATCCGATTTCACTTGGAGCTTTCCATTAAACGACAACCAAGATCTGGACCTCTTCGGACCCGATCTTAACCCTGGATTCTGAGCTCGGGGTTTCTGGATGGTGGGGAACGGAGCAGTCCGTCAGCGGGGAGAAATGGAGTGCGGACTACTCCAACCACGGTTCCTCGGCTACGGGATCAAGAGTCGCAGATCGGGTTTGTGCGATAACAAATAAAAACATGATGATGAACATGCAATGGCAAAACAATTGTCTTGCAGCAATTGCTATGCATATTCTGCAATTGTCGCAAATATGGCGTTGACAGCAACATTCAGCCTGCGACGGTTTTGTTCCGTACGACAGAGGCCATTAACACAGGCGCGACGATGCTTAGCGACTCATTCATCTCATGTCGCATTGAGCCCTCTTGAACCTGTTTGTGGCCTATACCATCTCCTGAGACAAATTTTTAATTGTGTCGCAGTACAATGCCCTCGATTACACCTCCCGCCTCGAGTCTCTCCGCCGCGTCCAAGGCGCTAATAAGCGACCCTTGACGCTCTCCGAAAAACTCCTCTACAGTCACTTAATCCACGACAACGAGGACTGGATCCTCGACCAAATAGAGCGAGGAAAGACAATTCTCCGCCTACGACCCGATCGCGTCGCTTGCCACGATGCGACAGCGACAATGGCCCTGCTACAATTTATTAGCGCTGGTCTGCCCAGAGTTCAAGTGCCAACGTCAGTGCATAGCGATCATCTCATTGTCGCAGAATACGGATCCGAAAAAGACCTTGACCGCGCTGCGAGTGATCATCGCGAAGTTTACGCCTTTCTAAGCAGTGCGGCGAAGAAATATGGTATTGGGTATTGGAAACCTGGTGCGGGTATTATACACACTACTATCTTTGAGAACTACGCTTTTCCGGGTGGTTTGTTCATTGGTACAGACTCACATACCCCCAACGCTGGCGGAATGGGTGTTCTGGGTATCGGAGTTGGCGGTTCTGATGCTGTAGACGCTATGGCTGGAATGCCATGGGAACTTGTCTGCCCCAAGGTCTTGGGTGTTCGTCTAACAGGAAAATTGTCGGGATGGGCTTCGTCCAAGGACATCATCTGCAAACTTGCAGGAATATTGACCGTGTCCGGCGGAAAGGGCAAGGTCATCGAGTTCTTTGGTCCAGGCGCTGAGACATTGGGAGCCACGGCCATGGCTACTGTTTGTAACATGTCAGCTGAGGTCGGATCAACCTCGTGTATCTTCCCCTACTCACAAGCCATGGCACGGTATCTCACAGCTACTAAGCGAGGAGACATCGCTCGCTACGCTGACGGTTTCACTGAGACATTGCTTACCGCCGACCGTGGCAGTGAGGACTACTATGACGAGGTCATTGAGATTGACCTCTCAACGCTTGAACCTCACATCAACGGCCCCTTCACTCCAGACCTCTCGCATCCCTTGTCCCAGTTCAAGATACGAGTTCAAGAGAGCTCCTGGCCCTCCAAGATCAGTCATAGTATGGTTGGCAGCTGCACGAATAGCTCCTATGAGGATCTCGAGAAGGTCTACGACTTGGTCCAGCAGGCCAAAAAGGCAGGCATCGATCGGCCCAGGACACCCTTCATGGTCAGCCCCGGTAGTGAACAGATTCGTGCAACTGCAGAGGAGAGCGGCATCTTGCCAAGTCTGAGAGAGGCTGGAGCTGTCGTTCTCAGCAATTCTTGCGGACCCTGCGTTGGGCAATGGGACAGGAAGGATGTTGATGTTGCTGGAGCTGAGAACAACTCAGTCATTTCTAGCTTCAATCGCAACTTCACTGGTCGCCATGATGGAAACCCCGCTACGCATTCTTTCGTCACATCGCCCGAGATCGCGACCGCTTTTGCTTACGCTGGTGATCTATCCTTCAATCCCATGCACGACGCCATTCCCATTGACGAGTTCGGTGCCTCTCAATTCCGATTTACCCCTCCCGTCGCCAACGAACTTCCAGAAAGCTTTGTCGCTGGCAGTGATCTCTTCCAGCCACCTGTACTAGAAGATACGTCTGATTACAAAGTTGCCATTGATGAAGGCAGCGGTCGCCTAGAGCTTCTAACGCCCTTCGAGCCGTGGAAGCCAGGCCAGGCAGAAAACATGGAAGTCCTCATCAAAGTCTCTGGAAAGTGTACCACAGATCATATATCCCCTGCAGGACCATGGTACAACTATCGCGGCCATCTGTCTAACATCAGTCATAACATGCTCCTCGGCGCAACGAACGGATTCCTCCCCGATGCTAGTTCACTATCTATGACTGGCAAGACACGAGATCCTACAGACGGCACCATCAAATTAGTCCACAAAGCAGCACGAACAATGAAGAACGCAGGTATCAGATGGTGCATCATTGGTGATAGCAACTACGGCGAAGGCAGTTCCCGGGAACATGCTGCACTAGAGCCTAGGTTCTTGGGTGGCGTCGCAGTCATCGCAAAGAGCTTTGCCCGCATTCATGAGACGAATTTGAAGAAGCAGGGAATGTTTCCGTTGACGTTTGCGGACCCACTGGACTATGATAAGATACAGGAGGGTGATGTTATAAGCTTACTAGAAGTTGATGGGGATACGCTTCAGCCGGAGAAGCAGGTTACGATGAAGGTGGTGAATAAGGATGGGACTGAATGGACGGCGCAGTTAAATCACTCGTACCATGCTCACCAGCTTGCGTGGCTACGGGCTGGAAGCGCGCTGAATCATGTCAAGAAGACGATCTTAGGTAGCGCAGCGTGAGGTTTGCATCATGAACTAGGGTCTGGTGGTTCAGGCGTTGGCGTTGATCATGTATTTACTCAAGGCTGTTGGTGATAGGCATAAATAGGCCGATACTGCAACTTTAATGACGAAAACTTGAATTACTAATTTTACTCTCGTTTTGACCTCCACGGAGATTTCAAGCTGTCTAGGGGAGGAAAGAAAACTTAGGACTTTGACCCTAAGTGATGAAAATATTAGGTAAATCTAGCCTAAGCTTAGGGTACTCTTTGCTAAGTTTATTTTAATACCTTATATCGAGGTTCGGTGTTTTCTTGCCCCCTCAGGGCTGTCCATGCGATGTGGAGAAAAATCAAGTAACGTAATCGCCATGATCTTACCAATCGCTGTGGACTAGGCCCACTGATGGCTGTTCATAACGTTACCAACCGTATAGCCTTCGATACACTGGGAACCTTATTTATTGTGGTGATCCTTAAATGGGACAACATCTCCCAAGAACTTCTACTCGCATATTACCAGCCAGTGTCTCACAACAGCCAAAGCCATACACAGCATAATCTGGTCTCAATCGCACAAGATGAATTGGCAAGAAGTAGCCAAAGCATCTCAAGCCAAAGTGCTTAATTCGATCCCTAACCGCTGGCGAATAGATATCAATCAGTACAAAGACCTCAAAGATGTCACCAATGTGCCGTACATCTGTGGCCTGCTCACTGAAGAGCAGCTCAGAATCACGGAGCTCACAGTCACGGAAATAGTCAAGAAACTTGAGGCTCACGAGCTTAAAGCAGTGCAGGTCTTGGAAGCATTTGCTGGACGCGCTGCTATCGCGCATCAACTTGTCAGTAATCTAACTACACGATGGTAATTGTCTAATGGCAGTAGGTCAATTGCCTGGCCGAATGGTTCTATGAAGAAGGCCTGGCTCATGCAAGAGAGCTTGATGAAGCGCTAGAGAAGGGTGGTCAACTGAAAGGTTTACTGCATGGTCTTCCCATCGCTCTCAAAGTAAGCCCTCTGCCAGCCATGCTCCCTCACCCAGCTCACTCTCGGCACTAGGATATTCATTGCATTGCAGGCCATGCTTCAACTATGGCCTTCGTCTCAGGCAGGAACAACATCGTCAGCCAGGATTCCGCGGTCGTAGCTGCTCTGCGTGCTCAAGGCGCCATATTCTTCTGCAAGACCACTATGCCTCAATCGGCCATGGCAATCGAGACGGTCAGCAACCTCTGGGGTCGCACTTTGAACCCGTACAATCGAGACCTAAATGCCGGAGGTAGTTCTGGAGGCGATGCTGTCCTGGTAGCTATGAAGGGTACACCTCTCACGCCCTCGACTGATCTCGGTGGATCGATTCGTGTACCAGCTGCTTTCAACGGGCTGTATGCTCTCAAACCAACGGCTGCACGTGTCCCAAAAGGTGGGATGCCAGATCTTGGACAAAATCTGATTCAAGTTTCTTTTGGACCTATTGGCCACTCCATTGAGGATATAGAGTTACTGACTCGAGTCATCAATGCCCATCCTTACAATAGATTTGATGTGACTAGCGTGCCTGTTCCCTGGAGGGCGATCAATTCTCCAGAGGGGAAGCTGAAGATCGGGCTACTGAAATGGGATGGCGTCGTAATGCCTCACCCACCAATTCTTCGAGCACTGGAGCACATCAAGCAACTGTTGATAGAAGCTGGTCACAAGGGTATGTTCAGACTCGCTGTGAACTGTGGACTCCAAAGCTAACTTTTGTCTCAAGTCATTGACTTTGAGCCGCCGTTCGACTGCTGGCAAGCTTTGAGGACTACCGTAAGTACCCCTAATCTAACTTGGTACAATGACTAACGGAAACCAAGTTCGACATTTACTACCAAGGCGGAGCTGATACTGCCGTCGCCGCACTTGAAGAATCTGGTGAACCCATGATCCCAGCATTTGCCGACCTGCTCAAGGTCTTTAATGTTCGAAAGCTTCCCGCTTCGGAGATTCTACAGGTAAGTCGAGATACAAAATAATCACTTCTGGTCTGACTATTGGTAGTTGAGTGGCAAGGTACGAGACTACAAAGAGCAGTTCCTAGCAGCATGGGATAAAACAGCCAACGATGGGCGTTCAATGGACGCCTTGATATGCCCTCCGGCACCTGGCGTGGGCTATCCTCATGACTTCAATACATACTGGGGATACACCTCGCTCTTCAATCTGATCGACTATCCTGCTGCGATATTGCCGATGCCAGGACTCAAGGTCAACGCGGAGCAGGATCCTCTTGATTCGGAATACGTACCATTGGGCACGAATCCCTACGATAAACCCAACCACGAGATTTGTACGCATGACCCTTATGATCATACCCATCCGGATTCTAACTGTGCAATGTGTGTAGACGATCCTCACCTTTTTGAGAACCAAGCAATATGCATACAAGTGGTCGGCCGTCCTTTCGAAGATGAAGAGCTCATTCGAGTATCGGCAACTCTTGATGCATTATTTCATGGTCTATAGAAGCAACTCTAGGTCTAAGCTCAAAGACATATTATCATCAGTTATTGTCATCGGCTTGATTAATCATCTCTAGTGAATGGAAAAGCTTATAGTAAAGAGTGGAAATAACCTTATGATTTCTATCGCATTATATCCTATTATGATGACCTTATAAACCAGTCGCCTATTTATAGCCTTACTATGGTTTCGGTCACTTTCTCTTCTCCCGCTGCTCTTCAAAATACCCATCTCGATATCGTACATCTTCAAGCACGGTCAAAACCACCGTTTGCGCGGATCCTGTTCAGAAACTTGAGAACAGCCGGCGTGACCTCCTCAGGCCTCTCCATCATAGGCGCATGTCCAACACCCTTGACAGCAACCACTTCACCGTCCTTAAAGTTCGAGGCGACCCAGCGAGCTTCCTCAATAGGGTCAGTCCAGTCAGGATCGGCATCTCCATAGACAGCTAGTACCGGAGCCTTGACCTTGCTGATGTACGGTGCAACAACGGCGTGGTCGGTAGATAGTGTAGCGTGGAATGCCTTCCAGCGACCAGGGCCTGTCAACATCGCGATGGATCTGTCAACTCGTTCTTGAATCTTATCGCCAAGACCGGGCCAGAGCTTAGGGGCGTATGACTTCCAGATCATAGGGCCGGTGGGTTGGCGCATAGAAAGGCGGAAGAGACTGGCAACGAGCTTGCCAGTTCCAGGCCGAAGGAAGGCTCCGAAGAGGACAAGGCCAGCGACCTTTTCGGGATGGCTTCCAGCAGCGATTGTAGCCGCAGCACCAGATAGAGAAGCCCCGGCTAACACAGCAGGTCCTCCGCCGTAAGCGTCAATCAAGGTGATGAGATCGTCGGCAGTGGCTTCATCACCATAACGATTGAAAGTAGTACTACTGTCGCCATGACCTCGGAGATCAACCATAGCGACTCTGTAGCCAGATCTGCGAAGCTCTGTAGCTAAAGCGTCGTATGCGTCGCGGAAATCTCCCATTCCTGGGGAGCAGATGACAAGAGGCCCTTCGCCAGCGATATCAACGGCGAGCTTACCACCATCTGTTTCAATAAATGTGACCGGCATTGTGAATGTGATTGGTGAGTTATGTCGTAAGTGTAAATAGAGAATAATTATTGAGTGCTGCGAACTTCAGCCTGCAAGTGTTGAATTGATGTATTTATGAGACTGTTGATGATGAATGTTTCCAGCCATAAGCAGAATAACACAACATATATATAGTCAGACTCAGATTCTTTTCATAAATGCTTATGATTACTCCCGTGCCTCTACGCTGCATTCTCGGGTCCGTAGGGCGAGCTTCAACCGACAACTGGGTTAGACGAGACGTTGATTGGCTCGCACAAATGCACGAGAAAATGCCGAGACACACGCGAGATCAAGGATTTGACTGGGGCAGCTTTCACTCTGTATGATTGGCTATATCAACTGTCATTCCTCGGTCCTTCTATCTTCCGCTTCGGTAATCTTTTGTTGATATGATAAGATAAAGTTCATTCTTATCTTATCTATCTCTCGTGCAGGGTAGTGCATGACATTGTTTTTTTATCCTTAATGCTCTGAGACTTCTCGATGGCAACAGCTCTGCAGTAGAGCTCTTTCTATAATAGCTTACAAAGGGTCATGCAAGGTTATGTTGCTTTATAATTTTTGTTGGAGTTTAGCCGTTTCAAGGGTTTTCTCAAATAACTCCCAAATCGTCATCCTTCAACTCTCAAAATGAATCAAGAGCGTGTGAAACTGCGCTCACACGTCGGCTCAATTTCGAGAGGGTATCAATCATGAAGTCTTCTTTAGTACGGGAGTATATGTTTATTAGTATATGTATCAACTAAGCTCAGTTCTCAGGAAGTTTCAATCCCACCAAGCTCTCACAAGCATCAACAACCCGTTCCTGCAGCTCAACCTCACTACACTGGGGAGTCGGCTCTGCTAGCTTCCTCTTCGGCTCGAAATATCTACCCGTCAAGCTCTGATCATAGTCTCCCTCAGCCAACATGACATATGTATCAACTCCGTCCTCCATCTTATCTGGTCCATCTTCACCGCCGAGCTTCGTCGCAACCCATCCGGGATGAACAGACATGACTGATGTGTTCTTGCAACGCCTGGCGACTGCGTTTGCCAGCAACATGACATGAAGTTTTGAGTCGCAGTATGCAGGGAAGTCTTTGAACTGAGACTCGCCTCGCTCAAGCCAGAAAATATCCTTCACGCTTGTATCGGCTTGAGCATGGAGCATAGACGCGATGTAGATGAGTCTCTTGGGAGGTGTCAACAGACAAGTGAGAACATAAGGTGCAAGGACATTGACGGCAGTCTGAGCTGGGATGCCAGTGTCGGGAGTCTTGCGGAATGGTCCAGCCATCAAGCCAGCATTATGAATAATGGCATCAAAGGTTCCGACTGCATTGACTTCCTCGGCGAGCCTTTTTGTCTCTGACACGAGTGTCAAATCTGCTACAAAAGCACCAGCTGCACCAGGGCATTTTGCTTTGGCCTCTGCTGCGCGTTGAGCGTTGCGCGCATGAAGGTAAACGGTGTGATTGCGCTTGACGAGTTGACGCGCTGCTTCGAGGCCCAGGCCATCTGCGGAACCAGTAATGAGAATACGAGCCATTTTTTAAAGTAAATCAAAACTGAATTTAGTTGTTAAGCAAAACGTTCGAGGGTACTGTTGCCAATTTGTAACTTCAATGAGAATACGAGAAAATTCTTCGAAACTTGGCACCACGTCAACTGCCGGCTTTCAATTATCCAAATTGGCTCCTAGCGTCCCGCATTGACGTGTAACCTCGGCGATGCTAAACTCGTTTCAGTTGACGATTTCCGCTCGAGCTGTGGATAGCGGATATACCGGACTTTGAACGCTGCCGGGAATGGGTCTGGCGGATGAAACCCAACGCCGAGATGCGGCTATGGGTCTGCCGGGTCATTTTGCTCACCGAGATATATAGATAAGGGACTCGTCTCCAAGATTGCCTTGAGGTGCATTGATAATGATTGAAGGATCTTGATATAATGTATGAGTACAATCTAATCGGTCTTCTAATTGGTTCCATCTATCGCCTCTTCTACAGCTTCACCTGAGTCCCCTTCCGATGGTCTACCAACTGCCTCAGCACCAACGCCGATTTCTTCGGCGTCCGCTCTAACGTCTCGTAATCCGTAAACGTCACACCAAACCTCGGTCCATATCCATCAGACCACTCAAGATTATCCATCAACGACCATGCGAAATATCCCTCAATGACAGATCCATCTTCACCAACTGACCTGCCAATAGCGTCAAGGTGATCTTCAAAGTACTTAATCCTATACTCATCCTGCACAGACTCCTCACGCGTCATCTTATCCTCCCCGGGGCAAGGACACCCGTTCTCTGTGATGATGATAGGTTTCCCGTAGAGACGATATACACGCGTGAGATGTTTGCGGAAGAGGTCGGGGCAGGATCGGAGCCAGTGAAGACCACTTTCTAAACCGACAGGCTCACCAGCCTTGTTGGTTTGGAGCTCATCCAGATTGCCGATGTAATCTGTGTCTGGTGCTGGGGAGGACTTGTGACGCGCGAATTGGGAGGTGTAGTAGTTCATGCCGTAGAAGTCACTCTCTGCTGAGCGAAGAAGTTTGAGTTCTTCGGATGTGAACTGTGGGAGGCGGTCTTTGAGCTGATCGCGCATGCACTTTGGGTAGTCTTGTCCCAAGCTTCACAAAGTCAGCGTCTACAGTACGCGGTTCATGGAAGGTTGGCATGACTCACAAGATGGGGTTGGCAAACCACCCGATATGGAACTGCATTCGTCGCTCGGCAGCTTCACTGTCTCGTGGGTCGCTGCTATCCCATGGCTCATAGTAATCTCCGTTTAGTGAGATTCCTATTTGGCCTTCCTGTGATGCACGGAAGTCCTGGTCATAAGCTGCAACAGCACGAGCGTGGCTCATGATGAGAGCCTTCCCGACGATCCATGGTTCCGTTGAAGTGTCGCCTTCAGTGGACTGAGGATTGATGCTGCTTCGTCCTGGAGCATTTCCTCCAGTTGCATAACCCTAGAACGTATCGTTAGCAATTGACTGCTATCTTCTCGAAAAAATAACTTACGAATATTGAGACGATCCAGGGTTCATTGAGTGTAATCCAGCGTTTCACTCGATCACCAAACCTCTCGTAACAAAGCCTCGCATATCTCTCGAAATCCTTTTGAGACTCTTCAACATCTAGCCACCCACCGTATCTCTCATGCAACGCCTGCGGTAAGTCCCAATGGTAAAGAGTGACCCATGGCGTGATACCTCTCTTCAAGCACCCATCAATGACCATATCATAGAAAGCGATACCAGCTTCATTAACAGGATCATCCCGCCCACCAAGAGGAATGACACGAGACCACGAAATCGAAAAGCGATACATATCAGAACCATACCGCTTCAAAAGATCGAGGTCTTCTTCAAGGCGGTGATAGTGATCACAGGCAACATCGCCGTTTGCACCTTTTGTTCGCGTCGGTTCAAGATGGCAAAAGACATCCCAGATTGAGGGACCGCGACCATCTTCAGCGACGGCACCTTCAATCTGGTAAGACGCCGTAGCGAAACCAAGTTTGAAGTCCTTAGGAAGAGAAGGCATTGTCGTCTGTAGAGTCAACACAAAAGTCTAGTGACCAAAATAAGTTACATACTTCGGCATTCTTTATACCGTGGAATTACGGGCCGATAAGATAAATACCCAACTCGTCGTAATTGTCGATCGCGGTGAAATTCATTTGATCCACTGGGTAGTTTCCCCGACGGTGAGGGGTTTCTTCGAATAGCGCGATGTGCTATTTCGCCGTTTTCCCGTAGCTTCATTGAGCAGACCATTCCCCACGGGGAAGTTTGGAGACTAGGTCAAAATGGGGATTTTTCGCTGTAACCTTGGTTCATGGCATGTTTCTGGACCGAGTCTTTCTCTCTTCTTCAGTGTTGCATTGTGTGTATATAAGTATGCTAGAGATCGCCGAGCTTTATTACAAGACTGTAAACACCATCACCAGTCACTCTTGACGACTCTTTTTACCTTGTTTCAGTTTCACGGCAGCAACGTCAACATGGCTCCGAAAGCGGCGCACGCGACTGAAGATATTCAGTCACCTATTGACCTCACCACCGTTCCGCCGTTTTGGAAGCGCAAGAATGGCATTCTTTTATACTTTCTGCTTACGTCCTCACTGTTTGCCAGTATGGCTCTTGGCATTGATGGGTAAGTGCACCTTCAACCTGGTACTCGGTGCGCATACTGACTCATCGTGAAGCTCTATGACCAACGCCCTTCAAACCCTCGAGAGCTGGCAAGACCGCTTCGGACATCCTACTGGTTCCAAACTTGGCTTTTTCGGTGCTTCCAACGCCATTGGAGGTGTCATACCGTTCATCTTCCTCGGTTGGATTAGTGATGTCGCTGGTCGTCGCGTCCCAACTGCGATGGGATCTATCGTCATTATTGCCGGTGTCATGGTTCAACTCTTTGCGACCTCGCTCAATATGTTCATTGGTGGCAAGATCGTTCTGGGAATTGGCTCCTCGCTCATCCAGATGGGTGCTCCGGTCTTGGTCACCGAGCTCTCACACCCCAAGGAGCGTGTGCAGATCACGACGCTTTACAACACAAACATTGTGCTGGGTTATGTCATTGGTGCATGGGCGACATACGGGTGCTTTCGCATCCCCAATCAGTGGTCTTGGAAGCTTCCTACTCTTGTTCAAGTCATTCCATCGGCATATCAACTCATCCTCATCTTTTTCTGCCCCGAGTCACCTCGTTGGCTGATCGCAAAGGGCAAGGTTGAAAAGGCTCGAGAGATTCTGATCAAGTACCACGGTGAAGGTGATTCCGACAGCGAACTGGTCAAGTTCGAATGCGCCGAGATTCAGCAAGTCATTGCTGAGGAGGCCGAGCAGAACATGACCTGGAAGGAATTCTTCTCATCCATTCCTAACCTCAAGCGCATTTCGCTTTGCTTCGCTACTGCGCTTTTCAGTCAGAGTTCGGGCAACCTCCTTGTCTCGAACTATCTGACCCAGATCCTCAAGGATACAGGCATTGAGGCGGAGAAGGACATCACTCTTGTCAACGGCATGGTTACTCTCTGGCAGTACATCGTCGCTATCACCATGACGCTTCTTGTTGACAAGTTCAAGCGCCGCACCTTCTTCCTCGTTGGCTCCGGTGGTGTCCTTGTCACGTTCATCATGTGGACAATTGCCGCTAAGCAGTACCTGGAGGGATCACTGGCTGGCGGCCGAGTCGTACTGGCTTGCATCTTCCTCTTCCAAGGCTTTTACACTTTCGGATGGACAAATCTGGTCGTTACTTATCCTCTTGAGATTGTCACCTATCAGATGCGAGCCAAGACTTGGGCATTCGTGCTTCTCACCATTCAAGTCGCTTCGATCTTCGGCGGCTATGTCAACCCAATTGGTCTGGAGGCTATTGGATGGAAGTTCTACATCTACTACTGTGTCTGGGTCGCCATCATCTTCTTGGTTGTCTACTTCTTCTTTGTCGAGACATCTGGACCTACGCTGGAGGAGCTCACGTATCTGTTTGAGGGTAAGGATGCGAAGCAGGAGATGGTCAAGGAGATTGAAGTCAAGAAGGAGGAGCACGATTTCATTCACGAGAAGGGAGTCTAAAGAGTCGTATGTGGACAGCAGATATGTGATAGTATTATTGCAAAGATTTAGTGTATCAATGAAGAAGTATTTCGCAATGCATCGGAGGCCTTGGAGTCCAGTCTCGTGAGCAGATCAAGGAGAACGGCAAAGTCGCTACGCGCTCTAGCAGCGATAGGTGAAGATCCATTCCTGTGAATGATTTCCAGAAGACTCGCACCAGTGAGTCGTATCTTCTCGACCTTGGTAGAAACACCTCGTTAGCTTCATTAACTACGTGGTGTATTAGTGGACTCACATAGGGCTCGCCGTTGACTTGGAGTGACCAAAACGGAGCTTCTTGGATCACCCTCAGCATATCTCTCGCGATCTCCGTCTTGCGCAAGTCCGAGTGCCCAATCTCCGATTTATAGTATGGAAGATTCTCCAACTTCTGCGTTATCACCATTCTTAGACAATGGATGGAGACTTGAAGATTAGCGCATTGAATCAGGAATTGTTTGGTGGTTTCCCTAGACTCATCGGCCAATGCAGCGAACGTGTACGACTGAAGATATGGTGGTAGATCATCTAGACATGTGATGAAACGGACATAAAGAGCGTCCAGCCGATCCTTTTCTTGCGCGCTGATCAGCGGCTGAAGATTCGACATGCTTAGGTCCTGTTGGTTTCGGTCATGCATTAGTCTCAGCTCCAGCAGCAGATCGGATGCATTCTGCCAGAGTCGTAGATTGGCGTTAAAACCTTCGATGCAAGTTATCCGCACGACATCAGAGTTTGTTACGAGATTGCCAGGCGAGAGAACAGGCGCTTCATCTTCAATGCCAGAAGGATACGACGTGGTTATTCCCGACTCGAATGAGAATTTGTGGATCGTGATGGGTCGGTTGTTCAGTATCGCAGCTGATTTATCGCCCATGTACACGATCCAGAAAGCTCGACGTCGCAATTCAGCTTCAATTGGCTGCAAACCCTCTAGCGAAGTTTCGAGGTTCAATTGCATAACCTGCGCAAGTCGCGTGGCTTCACCAAAGATGTGCCACGAGTACTTGGGCTTTCCCGCTGCATGCAAACAATTTGAGTGAAAATATCGAATTGTGATTGAGTTCGCATTGGGATTCTCCAGCTCCGCCTCAAGGTATTGATTCAAGCATGATCTCGAAGCATTGAGGAAGATATCGGCCACTGATTGACCCTCTGGGAATAAATCCTTCGGCAATAAGAACGCCGCCTCAGCACAAACAGCTGTGATGAGCGTAAACGTCGTCTCTGGCCAAAGCTCCAAAACCCCCGTACTAAAATTCTCAGAAGGGTACTGCCCGAAATACGAAAGCGAGTCCCTCAAACTGGGCTCATGAACCAGCGGCGTAAGCGGGTAGAGGTACTCAAAGAAGAGATCAAAGCAACGCGTAACAAACTGCTGCAGATCATTCGTAATGAACGCTAGCGCTCGTGATAAATTCTGCCAGCGCTGGTGACTCGTTACATCTCCACCGCTGACGAGCAAAGGCGGCGAGAGTCCGAGATCGACGGGATTGGTTTCCCATTGGGGAGGCGGTAATTCCGCTGTGGAACTGGCTGATTTTCTGGAGCGGATTTTAGGGCCGCGACGGGCGAGGGGGAGGTTGAAGGTGCATTGTGTGCCTGACTCCCTGCAGCTGGTGCAACGCTCGCCTTCTGTAAAGTCGCACTAAAGAATCGGTCAGTCAGTGAATTCAGGGGAGTTTCGCCGATGGGAGAGAGAGAAGATCAGTACCTTTGCTTTTCGCCGACGACAGCGGTCACAGGCTCTGTTCTTTTGGACTGGTGTGTTTGTCCCCGGAGATTGAGGGGAATCTGGCGTGGGGCTCGTCATTGTGTGAGAGTAAAGAGGCAAAGAGTGGAAAGGATTGAGACGGGGAAATGCAGCGGTAAAATAGATTCTGTCATGAGGTGATTCTCCATTTCCCCGTGAAGATCTATTCCCCTTTTGATAGTGGTGAGCCGACAAGCGGGGTTGAGTCTGGGGAAAGAAACCTTGTTTCTGGGCTCAATACGTACCCAAGTCGGCATTGGTTCATCCAAGATCCTGGAAATGTTGTGCAAGTCTTCATTTCCCATTATATAAAGACAGCCTCGTCATCTTCTTTGCTTCTTTAACCAGCATCGAGACACCAATTGAGGTCAGAGACACTCATCATGAAGTCCTCGCTAAGCGCTGTTCTGGCTGCTTTAGCCTTGTCTTTACCACTAGCAACGGCCTCACCTCAGTACTCCAACCCCAAAGCTCCATCTTGTCGGTTCGGTCTAGAATGGTCGCAAAAAGACGTCCTTCAACACACTGACGACTTTATCTGGGACCTTCTTTACTGGGAAGGTAAATTCCATCAAAACGATATAGCCTACAATACTCAAAATGGCATGTCCTATGATGGAACCCAGCTTGATTGGAAGACTGGCAAGCGCACTAACAAGCATACGTTCAGTGCAGCCAGCAAAGAGGTCAGTCACGCTACGGTCTCGAATACCGGACACCTTTACTAAAGATATAATTTAGGCACTGCAAATTATGCTCTACGCCCAAGCTATCTCTGGGTCTAAAGAAGCTGCTCGTTTCTTGACCCCAGATAATCTCAAGGCCGCACCAGGCTTCGCTGCGTCAATCATGGAGACAAAGCTCAAGACTTACAGCCAATTCAACCAGACATATCCTGGTTTTGGCGGCTTTCTTCCTTGGATCAAGACCGACACCACGACCATCTCTCCCCAAGATGGTTGGGATGATCGTGTTCCTGGTCTGGACAATGGGTAAGGAACCTGACTTTCACTCCCTCATCTGTGCTAACAAACTGTGTTCAGGGAGCTCATTTGGGCCGTCTACGCCTGCATTGAAGCTCTGCAGAAGCAGCCCAACCCCAAGTTCCACAAGATCGCCGACGGCTGGCAGACTTGGTTTAACTACGTCGCTTCAACTGCCCCCGAAATCTTCTACATCGGCAAAGGAAAGGTCTGTGCTGTCACAGCAATTGGTGACCAGACACTCCCTATCAATGACAGGAAGCAATCGTACAAGTGCGAGTCAGAGACTTATCTCGATGACCCTTATGAGGGAGAGCTTTTGACTTACTTCTTCCAATTCTTCACTGATCTGTCCAAGAAGGATAAGCAGACGCTTTGGGAGTATAAGAGAGCTAAGCTGGAGAAGGCGGAGTATAACAAAGGTGGCGTTGGTCCCATCACTGTTCGCAAGGGCTTTTGGTTCTCTAGCCATGAGATCTGGAACCAGCTTGAGTTGCCATACCACGATGTCGATATTGTCAGGTGAGTGTCACCGGTTACATTAGAAAACCGTAAGCTGACCGTCTAGCCGCCTATTCAAAAACGGCGAACGTGCTCGTACTTGCAACTCTGTGGTCACCAAGACGCCGGGTCTCTACGCCTCAGTCAACAACTCTACCGACCCCAAGACTGATGAGATCATCGGCTACATCTCGCCCGCCGGTATCCCATCCATCGCCAGCCAGAAGGACCAAGAGCTCGATGTCATCACTCCCTATGGCGTCTTTCCCGTTGTTTTGTTCGACAAGGCAGTTGGGATGGCTTGGTGGAGAAACATGATCGTTGGAAAGAAGATGCAGAGTAAGTCTCGTAGCTATCAGATTAACGCATCGCTAACAGCAATACAATAGATCCTTATGGTAGCACAGAGTCCACTCGTGTCGACGGCAAGGGTGTCTCAGCACTTGTGACCTGGGATAGTAAGGTTACTACCGTACTCTCCCTCATGAATGGTGTTGTGGATCTTGTTCGCGAGCGAATGAAGTCTGATGGCATCTACAACGAGTTCCTAAAGATTACAGAGGCAAGTTCGCCAAGATACACTATTGATTTCTGTGCTAACAAGATATTTACAGCGCGAGCATTTTCGGGTGTTTGGTAATAAGCTCAAGGGCGAGGATATCGAGTTCTGTCTCCCCAAGAACAAGGTTCCCGACGCAGGGCTCAAGGACTTCACATCTTGTCAGAAGTAAATGTGACAGAATGCGACACATTGTATTGATAGGAGAAGTGTTTGAATAGATATGGAGATTACTATACAAGTGATCTGAAAGTAGACCTAGAGTGACCTCCAACGATCTTTTCCTCAGTCATGAACCTCGTTTAGAAGCTGAGCTTCTGACCTGCCTGTCCCGGAACCGTTGAAGCAACCTTTCCAGATCCCAGAAGCGTAAACTGATACGGAATCTTGCTTGAACTGAGTGTACCCTTTGGAGCAGTGTTTTGACTCTCACCACCAAGCACGACGTCTTCCGCGACAACATAACCGACCTCGGAGCTTGACTCGCTGAATATAGCCTTTTTCCCAACGTTGGTGAACACGGATGATTGGATGAGAGCCTGAGCGCCCATGCGGCTGTTGAGACCAGTGTCCATGGTATCATAGTACTGACTATAGATTGTTTAGTGACAGGCCGAAAAAGGAGTCATTTGGAAACGTACTTGAAGATATGGGCAGTGCCAAAGCGAAGAAGAGGGCCTCGGCTTCTGACGTTGTTGAAGTGGTTGTTTGCGTATGTAACACGTAAGGTGCCAACGTCCTCAGCTGCATTCTTGTCGGAGTGTCCTACGAGCGATCCCTTGGACTAATCAACAGTCAGCCTGACCTTCTTCGTATTCCTATATAAGAATGGGAATCACTAACATGGTCATGGAAGTAGGTATACGAGATGGTAACCCAGTCAGCAGCATGCGACAGATCAACTAGACCATCATAAAAGTCCTTATCATCACCTCTCACAGCATAGAGATCACAATGGTCAACCCAGACATTAGTGGACTTTTGGATGGTGATTGCGTCACCGTAGTCGGCTTCAACCTTGGAGATCTTCATGTTGCGGACAATCACGTTCTTCTGTCCATTGATAGTCAGGCCAATACCGGTGAGGGCTGGTTAACGCAGTTAGCACTACTCAAATAAAAGAATAGTATGTACTCACAGCTACCCGTCTTTCCGATGATAGACTTGTTCGAAGTAACTTGGACCTTGGCTGCGCCAGAGATACTGCCTTGCACTAAGATGACAGAAGGTCCGTCCGCTGCGGCTGCGGCGGTGAGCTCAGCGAGGGTCTTCACTGTGACCTGTGCTGCACTTCCGCCTCCAGTCGTCCTACACGTATCAGAATCATGATCGTGGAAGCTCTGAACCGATTGACTCACCCTCCATTCTGAGTGCAGTAGCCAATATTGCAAGGGTCATTGGCCGCAGCTCTGGCCTGGAGGCTGGCACCAGGAGCTGCAACAGCAAAGCTGGAGAAGAATAGAATATCAAGAAGCTTCATTTTAGAGAGGATCAATTGGTTCCCGGAGATGTTGTTGGATGAGGGAACTGCCAAGTTGAGGATAGACTTGGTCTTAAATACGACTTCACATCCACACAAACTCTCGTCGTGTTGATCTACAAGTTTTGGGCAGTACAATTACCCCCAATGTACACCTATTCTCTCTTCAAACCAACTATTACACGAGTCGTTACGTTTCAGCAACAGGATGTAGATATTTGGAAAAGCTCTGCTGATTGGTGGATCATGTCGACGAGATCTTCCGTCCGCAGATGCCTTCCCCCAAAGTCAATGCAAAACACTGACTACGTTCTGCATTTCCTGCAATAAGCCTGGAAAACAAAGCGACTCTTGTGGTATTTGATGAGTTGCTGGAGGAAGGGACAGTTACATCACTCGGAAGTCCTTCCTCCGCGTGCTGAATCGGGATCTCGATTGTGGGGTGATGGGGGTTTGACATAGCTTGGCGTAGGTGAAGGCTGATGATGAGGGTTGAGATTTAGAAGTTCAGAAACGTTGCAACTTCAGAACCGTTAGGTCTATTTGTGGTGGTTATCTTTCTGGAATTGTATCGCATTCGATAGTTGTTTGGACTCGTGGGTTCTCATCGAGGCATGTTGACTGGTTCGAGGCTGAGTTAACATCCATGTACTGGCATGTAAATATTCCAAGGCCAATGACGATAAATAATGCTTTGCATGGCACGTCCTCCCCGATTGCGTGTAAGAGCTTCGACAAGCCCGTCCTACGATGTGACTCCTCATCCTATTTATTGTTGAGTTCTTATCTAATCTTATCGATCTGGTTCCTGGCTGATAACCAGGTCTTGGTGTTGCAAGCTGGCTGGCAATCAGCTGGCACCTTGAACCGCCGAGATCAGTCCAGAATGCTGCCTAATCATGAGATTCGGCATTTTCACATGCCTTTAGGCTTCCATTCGACCATGCTCCCATCTGTCGATCATCGCACCAAACGACGCCTTCCAGCGTTCATCCGGGTGCATCAGCCGACCACTAACGCAGGTCACTCCCATCCATCACCTCAATCACCAGCACCTCTTATTGACCAATCCCCTCCCCTAGAGCCAAGCCCATAGTGCGCGACTTATCTATCAAGAGGGTGGGCTCGCGCTTATCGTTGATAGGCTTTCCCCGCAGCCAAGCTTAAGTCCCTTAGGATCTTTTGTTGGCGTGTAATCCCTGTCATGAACGCATCATCACCTTCCCAATTCGAGAATCTCCGAAGATAGTCGAATGCTTAAAAGGTTATTTAACTGGCCGATATACCACGTCTTGCTTCTGCACGTTTCTGGGTGGAACTTATCGATACTGATGCTTTTATCAACATATCACGTCGTGCCAATTACTCTCGCTGCTTGTGCTGCGCTTTTGAACATCCCAGCAGTTTTGGCAGCCATGGCGGACAGAAAGGTAAACAGAATATAATTTGCTGAGAGAACGTGTTTGCTGATGAGAAATTCTCCAGGCTATTATTTACGATTTCGAGAAGTTGGAGGATTATCAACAGAGAAATGAAACCGTCCTCGAGTGAGTAGAGATTCGCTATGAATAGGCCCCGAAGCTAATCACCATACTAGCATCGTCAAAAAGGACACTGGTGTCGATTTCTGGAGGCAGACACGAACCATTCCTCCCACTTCCTATCCTCCGTAAGTATAACAACCCTATTCTCTAAACCAGAACTGACGCGATTTGATGGCAGGCCGATGACTTTAGAGGCTATTGAGAAGCTGAAGGAAGTCAAGGGTGTTATTGTAAAAGATGCTCCTACTGAGGAACTGTAGCTTGTTGAGTCTTTTCTTATTTTGCTAAAAAGCTTTTGTCCGGCAGATTGGTAACTGTAGTCATACTTGTGCACAAATTGTATCCTGTTTGGTTTCGGTCTATATGTGTCTATGGGAGGGTCGACTCGACTACCTAGCTAGATGCTAAATTTATCTTCCCTTTCTCTTGTCATTTGAACATCGATTGTCTTACATCATTCTCCAAGTATTAAAAGCTGCTAACTTCCTAATTTGAACAACCCTTCTTACGCAGAAACTTGACCGATTAGGACTTTGGGCTACCAGCAAAGGTAGTACACGCACTTCATGTTCATCATACTTCGCCAATAGAACATTATCAAGTTGATGAGCCATTTTTTGTTGCTGCGCACGACTTGCGGACTGACATCAATGTAGGTAGATTGGGTAACATAACAGTTTTGGATTAGTTTTCGTACTGTTAAACATTTCACGCTGCTTCTATCGAAAGGAGTTTTCCATCAAATTTCATATTCAATTGAGCTATCTAGATTGCTGTTTTACGAGCAACCAGGACTAATATCCAACTGAAACCAACTCATATCTTCTTAACTCGTCGAAGCCTGTTTGAGAAACAGGTTCCGTATCCAACACTCAAGCTAGAGATTATCCAAGGAACATCTCAGCGATTCCAACGGGGCGTTCAAGCGTATTGGTCAATGAAAGAGCGGAGAGCACCAACGCTGGCATAGACACCAGCGTAGTTGGGTCGAGCACATCCGTTGCCCCAAGAGACAGCACCGATGAGAGTCTTGGAGCTGTCGACGATGGGACCGCCACTGTCACCCTGGCAAGAGTCCTTGCCGCCGGAAGAGACACCAGCACAGAACATCTGGTTGGTGATGGCGGAGGTGCCATACTGCTGTCGGCAGGTAGCACGAGAGACAATAGGGACAGTAACCTTCAGGAGGTTGACGGGAGTAGAGCTGCCGCCCTCAGAGGTAGCGCCCCTGGATGGAAGTTAGCATATGGTATCCTAGATGTCAGGGAGCGACTTACCAGCCAGCAACAGTGGCAGAAGATCCGGCGACGGGGTCAGAGCCGGAAGCAGCGAGGCTAGCATAGCCGATGGTTCCACTGGCGGGGATGGAAGTAGAGAGCTTGAGGATGGCAAGATCGTTGTTGTTTCCGCTGTAGCTAGGGTGAACTCTGACGGAGGAAAGCGACGAGGTAACACCACCAGAAGTGCGAGACTGTTCAGAGGTTAGTGATATTGCTCAAATCTCCGGAAGAGTAGATGGCTTACAAGACTGCCAGCACGGATCTGGAAACCGCTCTGAGCGTATCCGGAAACGCAGTGGGCAGCAGTCAAGACGGTGTTGGCGTTGAGGAGAGAACCTCCACACCAAGGGCCACCGTTGCGGCTGATGCTCACAATGAAGGGAAAGTCGCCGGCGCTGGCAGAAGTGCCACCAACGATGTTGGGGATCTCCTGAGGAGCGGCAGCAGCCAGGGGAGCAACAAGTGCAACGACGGAAGCGAACTTGACCATGGTGAAGAGATAGATATCCAAGAGATGAGAGTTGAAGAGTGAAGAGTGGTTGATGATAGACTACTTTGAATAGACCACCGTGATCCTTTTATATTCGAGAATCAAACATAGCTATGGTTGTTGTTGTGTCTTCTTACCTGCCTCTCTGGTTACTATCCCGCGATAAGCTTGCTTGGTAGTATCTTCGGAGTTTGCGAATAGGCGGACCTGCCTTTCTGGTGCTAAGCTCCGTTGTTCCGTAGTCTAGTTCGGCATTTAGAAGAAGCATTAACCTTATCATTCTCCCGTGAAAGTGATCGGCATATAAGGCCCTTGGCAGCAGGGGTCAGTATCCCGATGAGGAAAGTCGATAACTCTATCGCCAATAACACTGTGGATATGACGGATAAACAGGACGAAGAGTAAACACTGGACGAAAAAGAGCTTCAAGATGAATGTAATTATAAAGCTGGTAAAAGCAGTTGAAGAGCTGATGTACAGTATGTCTTTGATCGGCTTATCCCCCCCCAAGATCTACGATGAATGCCGAAGGATCATCGCGTCAGCATTCGTATAGACCAACCGGAGTTATTTAGCCCGAGGGAATCGCCAAGCATCAAAGCGCATCTGCACTACTACTCTGGGCGGGGTTCACTGCTATAATTCGGTCATGCGCCATCAATCACAATGGCCCAATATTCTGAAACTGGAAACCGTATAGAACTTTTGTAGCCACCACCACGCAATAGCAGCCCTGCGATAACGCACGCATCAACCTGCATGCGATACAACCTCTGTGGCCAAGTTCTGTCAGATGCACCTATGGCAGCGCTTATGCCAATACCTGTTGCATCCTATTCCATCGTGTACCTTCCAAACATAGCATCTTCCTCCGTCTTATCTTTTTTTTACTTGTCGATCCTACTAGGCCTTCTCGAATGTTGCGGGATATTCTCCCGCTGTGCTTTTGCCAGTTCAGCTTGTAGATCTTTGCGAATAGCTGCCCTGATCTAGAGCTGAGGTAGATCACTTTTGGAAGGTACTTTTGATTGGAGAGCGCGTAAATCAAGTTTCGAGAGGTGCTAGACGGACTTTGCATAGTTTGAAAGAGGAAGGACGTGAAGATGAGTGTAATTCATGATCTGATGCTCACCGTATCTTCAAAGGATCGCTATGTCGTGTCGGAAGTCTCCGCTGTTGAAGGGTTGTAAGAATTCGGCTCTATGATCAAAGTTCCTCCGAAGGGCTTTGTTGCGTGGCTCGCATATCGACTTTCTAAGATGGGGATAACTGAGATTTGAGGCCAGAGTCACGCGTATGCCTAGCAGACTGCTCATGGAGGGATATAATTCGTGTGATTGGCTTAGACGCCTTGTATTCGATAAAGCTTGAGCATCTTCAGTCAACACTGGGAGCCTGATGTGTGCGTTAAAAAAAGACGGACTCATTCCATATGGAACTGGTCAGATTTCATGACTAGACAGCATGGTTAATTGATAGGATCGAATGCGGAATGTAAATGCGATGCTTAGAGTTGTAGTGAGTAATCAATCGCTTGGAATTAACGCGGCTTTGCTGGAACCTTGTTTTAAAATAGCCACTTAATGTTACGTGACACAACGCCCATGCGCTGTGATGAGTTCACGAATCATGCAGAAGAATACTAAGCTTTCATTCACATGCTAAGCATTCAGCAGTATTGCCTTGAAGATTACAGTCAGCTGCGGTTTTCTCGACTGACTTGATTTACTACCTGGCATAATTATTATAAAATATAAATATGAATAACTGAGCATTTCTGAGTGAACGAGACAATTGAAGCTGTATAATCTTTAATCGTTAATAAATGCCTTAAATACAGGGTAAGAGGCAATACGATGTTTGTTGGTTATTCCACTTGCGATTTACGCCACCAATTTCCCTCGCCAAAAGCTGAGCCCCAAGAGCCAATGATCGTGGCGTCGCCCCTGAAGACCCCTGTAAAACTAACGGCCTCAGCTGGCACTATCGATAAAACCTTTCTAAAAGCACTCAACTAACGAGGCGCTTGACATTGTTTGGGAAGACTAGTTATCAATAGCTTCAAAAGGATCGACACTAAATAATGACAACAAAACCCAATACGAGGTCGGTAGGGCAGAATTTGTCAGGGGAGGAGATTGATTAAACCTAGACTCTCCCCCTAACTCTCTATTCTCCAGATTGTTGCGTTTTTTTATTACCGAAAAATTCACGATTGTCGTAGAGATGGCTCGCCATTTCGTCCGTTCGTTTGTTATTGCTGCGGCGCTCAGTCCCTTCGTTCATGCTGGGCCATGCCGCCCCTCTTCGAGCTCTGTGGCGGTTGTTTCGACCACTACTGAGACCAGTGTCGCATCTGGCTCTGCTACATCAAGCTTGACTGAGTCTTTGTCTGGTACCTCAACTGAGACTTCTGTCACCGTTAGCGAAAGTGGCTCAAGCACTGGCACTTCGACTGAGACCACTCTCGCTACCAGCAAGACTGAGTCTGGTTCCACCACCGCTGAGCAGTCTACCACGTCGGGTTCTGCTGTCTCAACTGACGTTACCACCTCTGCCAGTGAGAGCCAGTCTTCCACCGGCACCACTCTAGCTGCGACTACGTCAACTGAGTGTCCCGAGCCAGAGCCTCCCGTCTATGATGACCCCTTTACTCACACCGACACTGAGGTGGTTCCCGCGACGACTTCTGAGGCAGCTACTACCACTGAAGATGCTACGGTCACCATTGTTCCCAGAAACTTCATTCGACGAGGTCACCCAGAGATCTTTGTCAGGGATGCCACCAGTGAAGCCGTTCCCATTAATGAAGAAGATCCTACTACTACTACTGCAGAGGCTACCTCTACTACCGAGGATGCTACTACTACGACTGCAGATGCCACTACCACGACCGGAGATGCTACTACCACTACTGGAGAAGACACAACTACTGGCGAGACAACTGCCACTTCTGAAGATACCACTGCTACCACTGAAGCTCCCACCACCACAACAGAAGAGGCTACCACCACGACTGAGGAGACTACCACTACCGCATCCGAGACTGCTACCGGTTGCATTAACAACATGGAGAGACCAACACCCGAGGGTGCCGTCTGCGGATCAAGGGGATGGGTTTGGGGTACTTCCAACGATTGGAGGTACTTAGGCGAAGGCCCATCGACCTCTGTTCTTGATTGCTACACGGCCTGTCAGCAGAAGAGTAACTGTGTGACATTCCTTTACGAGAAGAACGCGCAGTGCAGTCTCTATATGGGCACTGTCACTCAGCTCAGCTCGGACCGAACTGGCGTCAAGACTTATGAGACGCGCTGCTTCTGCGACACCGGTATTGACCCAGCTCCGACCTGCTCATACAGCGACCCGTTCACCAACGGTGGCTTCGAGGACGGTACATTGGCTCCATGGGTAGAGGATCCCAACCCTGGTCGCTACGACCCCGTTTACTCCAAAGTCGTTCCTGGCGGTCAGGGCGGTTCGTCGTATCATTTCCAAACAGGCCAGTTCGATGCCGACGAGAGCCTCTGGCTGTATCAAGACATCAAGGCCTGCCCCGGCACCAGATTCACCTGCTCTTACAACTGGTGGTGGAATGAGTATTACGAGATCGAACAAGATGATGGGAGCAGCTTGGTTCCATATGTCCGCGTTTATCAAGGCGACACCAACGTCGTTGGGAACCGATGGCCCACAAGCGAGGACCAGACAAAGACCTGGGTTCCCGCCAGGTTTACTTTCACCATGCCTAGTAATGGCAAAACGAGGATTTGGTTTGTTGCTAGCAGTCCTCAGAGTGAATGGATCAACACCAGCGATGACCCTTGTAACCCCACCTGGGTTCACCGACCCAACTGGTTCGCGCTGGACTCGGTATCTTGTCGCGAGTCGTAGACAACAGGTAGATTTCTGTTAGGTTCGAGCTTGGTAGTTTAGAAATTCTTTGTAAATATGTTTAATACTAGTATATTTTCTCGCTTATGCTCACTCGATTATGTCTGATGTTATTAGGCCCGTCATCCCGGTATGATATTTACGCTATCTTTGGGCTAAGCTCATACTTCTTATACCACGGCCAAAAAGTGTCTCTGATCCAGATATTGATGGCCCGAATACCAGCCAGGATGCAAAAAACACCAGCAATAGTGGTCGTGGAACCAAGAATATGGCTGGACCAAAGTGTCTTCTCTCAACATTAGTACACATTCTCCTCTTAGCACGGATGGGAACTAAGCTTACGGTTTTGTTTCCTAGTAGAACATAGGTTGTTGCGTGAAACCTCCACTCGTGTCCATCGATGATAATACCTGGTAGGAAACCAAGCTCTGAGGTTTGATTACCGACAGCAATGTCCATCTTATGCCACTGCGCTGCTTGCCAGGCTGCCATTTGAACCTCGGCATCTTGACTGCTTCCTTGACGACTCTTCGACTTGATGCTCGCAGCAATCGGGAATTCTGCGGTGGGTATAAACTGAGTATGGTTGACTGATCCCACGCGGTCGCGTCGAGCTAGGCATTTGTCTCGTGCGATTGGTTCTCGAGAAGGGTCGACATATAAGACGTAATCGACCTGTCCTTTAGGGACAGACTTGCGATGCCATTCTGGATCAATTGTAGCCGTGGAGCTATAATGAACAGGGAGTTAATGTCGATCGTGGAATAGTGACTTGAAAGATCTTACCAAGGTGCAACATCGATTAACTGATGATCCTCCGGCTTGAAACTTTCCATCGCTGTGGTGAGAAGTGGCGTATAGACAAGGTTGTTCCATCCATTTTCATTGCACTGGTGAGAATGACATTTTTCTGCCGCCTCAAGAATTTTGATCGCGGCGTCGAACAATCCTTTGGTACACGCTGATTCAGATTCGTCAGGAACGTAGTATGAGTCATCGTCGAGCATAGCCAGAGTACAGTCAGGCCCAGGATAAGCCTCAATTTCATCCTAGAGTCAAGGTCAGTTCGTAGAAATGGACTACGGTAGTAGGAAATATACTCACCTTTGAGGTCTTCGGAATTATTTTCTTGTCTTTCTGAAGCGCAAGCAACGAAACCAAAAATAGTTTCAATGTCGCTGGCATATCGTCGTGATTAGGATTCAAGGTCTTGAAGTCAAGCCAGTGATTGGCATATTGGTAGTCGTCGGCTTGCGACGATGGTGCCTCTGAATCGTAGTCCACCTCGTTAAGCAACTGGTTGCCGTGTGTAGGCGGGGATGGGGCCTCAATGGGCGAAGGGAAAGCGGTATGTTTAGAAACATGCATTGGCTCGAATTTGAGCTTCTTTGCTGGTTTATCTTCATCGCCGTTTGAGGGAAGGCTTTCTGTCTTGCGCGTTCTCTTGAGCCACCCCTCAACCATTTCGCTGTCGTCTGGGATATGTTCTCCTGAATTTTCCATCTTGTTTATTGATGGTGATTTAACTTGGGATGAAAGAGAAATGCCGTGGTACGACGAACCAAGAAATAGAGATACGAAACAAGCGCGTCGTCAGCGGGACCAGTGAATCACCTATGAGGGGTTTACTACGCAAGCCACGCCTCGTATCGTCATCATCGAACTTCCTGAATTTAATCAGAAGGGGAAAGAAAACATCAGGTAAATTAATACAAATGGACACTGGGGAGACTTGTAAGCCATTCTTTTCTTATTTACTAGCTACACTTGTTTCAGCAGGCCAAGTCCTCATCCTCTGGCTGCCATAGCATATTGGGCATCAAGATAGGCTTCGGTGGCCATTCCCCAGCCATATGATGACACTCAAAAGTGTGCAGTCCTGAGCCAACCGAGTTACCCATTATCTGCGCGTCATTGTTTGTCTGGGCGGGGTCATCACTTAGCTCGGAAGGTAAAGTGACGACAGCAGATGAGTTAGGCGGCACAAGCAGAGTCATTCTGAACAACCCAGTGTCTGGCATCCATGTCCATTTGCACTCAATTCTACCATAAGGTCCATCAAAGCTCGTTTCAGCCCAAGTCACATTCCCTCCTGGGATCGGCTTCACACGAAAAACCTTCCAACCCGGCGAAGAAGCCATAGGTGCGATACCACCAACAGTGCCATGTAGCCAGTCTGCCACAGCACCCAAAGCATAGTGATTGAAGCTTGTCATGCGGCCTGGGTTGATGCTTCCGTCGGGTAGCATGCTGTTCCAACGTTCCCAGACTGTCGTTGCGCCCATTGTGACGGGGTACATCCAGCTAGGGCAAGGCTTCTCACAGAGCATTCGATATGCTAATTGAGGCTGGCCAGTCTGCGTAAGTGCGTGGGTGATGAGTGGAGTGCCTGCGAAGCCTGTTCCGATCTTGAACTGAGCGGCTCGCACTAATCTGGACAAAGCTTTTGCTGCAGTGGTGACTTCTCGTGACTCCTTCTCACCGTTACGGTACAGTGAGAAGCATATCGCGAGCGCGATACCTGTCTGAGTGTTCGCCATCAAGTTCCCTGCGGGCGTGATGTATCGATCCTGGAACAAAGATCGTAGGCGGAGCATCTCAGCATCATACTTGTCAGCTAGATCCAGCTTGTTCAATAGCCGACAGACTTCGGCGAACACTGACGTGACATGAACCAGATACGCATCAGCCACCATGACTGAGTCAGTTCTCGAATATCCTGGCTGATCTGGTGCTGCCGTGGGATCAAGCCAGTCACCAAACTGCCATCGATCTGGGTTCCATAATCCATCACCTCCCTCTCTATCAACACCCCGCTCCAGCCAAGCACGCATGCTCTCAAACTGCTTCTCAAGCAAGTTCATATCACTAATGGTTGTATACAACGACCATGGCACAAGAACAGTAGCGTCGTGCCAAAGCGCCTGGGGCATTCATTTCGGCCAGCCAGGAAGACGGACATCTGGGCACACCAAGCCTGGCACCCCATCTCGGTCTGGCTCTAGCAACTGCTCAGCTGCGAGTTCATCAAGCCATCCTGAGAGAACTACAGTTGTGTCATATAAAAATGACGCAGTTGGCGCGAATATCTGGATATCACCAGTCCAACCAAGCCGTTCGTCACGCTGGGGGCAGTCTGTTGGTATGGAAAGGAAGTTGCCCTTCATCGACCAGACGACATTCTCATGAAGCTTGTTGATTGAACGATTGGAGCATTGGAAATGGCCTCGCCTTTTCATATCGCTGTGCATAACGAGAGCCTCGACATTGGTATCGTCAGTACCAAGATGGAGCAGAGATACTGTATCAAGAGGTTGTGAGTTGGCATCAAATACCTCGACTTGAACGTAGCGGAATCCGTGGAACGTGAACTTTGGAGTCCAGTTTTTTAACGGCTTGCCTGATGATATGATGGTGTCCGTACACTTGACGTGGTTGAGAGGCCGAGACCCAAGTTGACCATGCTCCATGACTTCGGCATGCTTCAATGTCAGAGTCGTGCCAGGAGGGAGCTCCAGGGACTTGATGTGGAGTTTCCCTACCAGATTCTGACCAAAGTCAATGATCGTCTTTCTATTAGTGCACTTGAACACATGCGATGGTCTGATTGTTTGTTTTACCCGAACAGGAGGAACCTCACTTTCCACCAAGCGCTCAGTTGGCTTCCGACCCAATACCTTCGTAGGATACGAAACAAACTCGCGCCTAGCTTTGGGTCCATCCGAGGCAATTCTGTTCCAGCCGTCACACTGAAGACGGCGATCGTAGGTTTCGCCATTATACAGCTCGCTGCTGACGATAGGACTTGGTGTGCACTCCCAACTATCGTCCGTAACAACTTTCCAGGGTTGTTCGTTGGGATCATGGGTAATCTCAAGCTGGGCCAGTAGCGAAAGCTCTTTACCCCCATAGTTGAAGCGAGTGCCTCCTCTAAAGCCGAGAGTTCCAGCAAACCAACCCTCAACGACCTCCGCAGCGATCATGTTCCGAGCAAATGGGCCGAGGTTAAGATATTGCCCAACATCAAGGGTTCGGTAAGCTAAGCGATGTCGTAAGCTTGTCCATCCGGGAGCCATGCACTCGTCACTCGCGAGATGGCCGTTGATGTAGATGTTATAGACTCCCAGTGCTGTGATGTACAATCGACACTTAGATAACTCTTGAGTGAGTTGATCGGGGATGGTGAACTCTTTTCGAAGGCGAATAGGCTGGAGCGGTGCCTCTGGCCCATGGTGAGAAGCTGGGGTTATGAATGATGCAGACCAGTCATCAGGTGAGAGTAAGCCAGTTTTGACAGTGGCAGCTGGTGACCACTCTGTTGGCTCCGAGTCAGACGCACTGTATGCACGAACCCTTACGGTAGCTATGTCTCGAGACTTAAGTGCTGGTGCGGGCCATGACACCAGAACTGACTGTTCACTTTCGACATGGTAGGTGATGGTCTGTGGTGTCGGCCGAGTTGGTGTAGGATGAGGTGTAACTTCAATATCATATGCCTTTTGTGTCCAGTTGAGCGGTACATCTAAAGGTTCAGACGTGAGGAATTGCCATGAGATTTGAGGTTTTGATTGAGAGATTCCGATGCCATCGTAATGATGCTCGAAGACTGGCTTGGATAGCTTCAGTGTCATCATGTTGTCCTGGTCAAGGGACATTGCAAGTTGACTGAATAAGTTATGAAGGTTTTAAATATAAGGTAAACTAACTTCTAAAGCATTATATTATCTCTAAGAAGTCATATTCGGAATTGAGACTATCTGACCAGCAGATTCACAATGGGTCGTTGGCGAACTATCTCCATCGCCTTGGTCGTCACCATAGGAGGATTCACCTTTGGCTTCGACTCGGGTATGTCTATCACGCTCCTTAACGACCTTAACGCGTATTCTGACTTAGTATCCCAGGAATCATCGCGACGACGTTCGGTTATCAAACCTTCCGTCTCTACATGTATGGTCCCTTCCAAGCCAGCACATCTCTCGCTGGTGCCATCGTATCATGCTACAACGCCGGTCAAGCCATTGGAGCCCCAACAGTTGGATACCTTGCCGATCGCTTCAGCCGCAAGTATACCATTGCATTTGCTTCCCTTCTCGCTATTCTCGGAGCTGCTCTGCAAGCTGGTGCTGTCCATGTGGGTATGATGATCGCTGGCCGGCTTATTGCTGGTCTCGCTTGTGGTCAATTCCTCGCTGTTGTCCCAGTCTATATCGCTGAAGTGGCCAAGCCCTCTCAGCGAGGTTTCCTTGTTGGTCTTCAGGGCTTGATGACTGCTATTGGATTCTGTATCGCGAATTGGGCTGGATACGGAGTTGCTTTTGCAGTTGGTGATGCTCAATGACGGATTCCTCCGGCTATGCAGATCCCTGTTCCCTTCATCCTCATGTTTGCCGTGTTCTTTGTCCCCTTCTCACCACGTTGGCGTAAGTACCAATTCTGCTCATTATCTTAGAGCCTCTGCTAATATCGTTTAGTCGTCAGGAAAGGACGTCACGAAGAAGCCCGTCGCGTGCTCAACCTCCTCCACGACACCGAAGGCGAAACATTCATCGAACAAGAACTTCTCCAGATCCAACAGCAGATTGAGCTCGAGGCGTCTGCTGAAACAAGCAGCTGGGCATATGCCATCAAAGAGCTCTTCTCCATGCGATATCTTCACCGCACGCTCATGGCAGCTTTCATCGTCTCTCAGTCCCAGCTCTCAGGCGCTTCTGTCATCCAGAACTTCCAGAACACATTCTATGCCATCGTTGGTATCACTGGTCGGAAGTCACTGCTAGTGTCCGGTATATACGGATTCATGGGTGTCATCGGAACCATCATCTATTTGGGCATCGTTGCAGACAGATGGCCTCGTGCTCGAACATGTGGACTGGCTCGCTCGCCTTGTCTGTCTCTATCGCTATCTGCATGGCTTTGAGTGCTACATACGGCCAGGCTGGACAGAGTAATATGGCTGGAGCAAGAGCCAGTATCGCCTTCATCTTTATTTACTCCGCGACATTTGCCATCTTCTTCAACGCGATGATCTGGGTCGTTCCATCAGAGCTGTTCCCAACATTCCTTCGATCCAAGAGCATGGCCTTTGCTGTGTCATCCAAGTCTGTGGTCGCTATCGTTCTCAGTCAAGTTACTCCTTTGGCTCTCGCGGAGGTTAGCTGGAGGTTCTATGCCCTTTTCATCGCCTGCAACACTGCCGCCGCTGTTCTGTATTTCTTCTTCCTGCCTGAAACCGGCGGTAAGACCTTGGAGGAAATTGCAGAGCTCTTTGGTAATGCTGTAGCGGTGGATATGCATGCCAATATTGAAAAGCTTGATGCTACCAGTGTCGTCCATGCTGAAGGCAGCGAGCCTCGCAAGTAGGTAGACCAGCGTCACTACGATGGAGGGACTGAGAGATTGCCGAAACCTCGAAATGGTTTTTAGTTTAGTTTGAATGAACGACCTTATTGGGTAGGTCTGTCCCATGAGAATCAACTACCTGTTCAAGATACCAAATGAGTGACAAAGGTTCACGCTCCTCGTCATACCTCCCTGTTTCTTCTTTCACCTTCACCTCTCCTCCTTGCACCAGAACCTGCCTTGTTTCTCACAATCACAAACCTTTGCAAGTTATAAGTCATCTCACCTGCTGTTGAATACACAAAAAATGGTAGATTATAATGTACTTACATGGGATAACCACCGTGTCATAGCCATTTCAGGAAGCGATCGGATTTAGTCCTGGAGTCCATGAGTCAGAACCCTAACATGCAATCTTACAGTTGTTAGGTCACGTTCGCGTCGATTCAATTAGGTAGAAAGCCCACACATCCCCAAACCTGCTCTTCAGCAAAGCAGATACAAGTTGAGTTTGTCGAGGGCAAGTCGTGTTGACTCCGCAAGTGCCACAGGATCCCCGCTCTATGCCCAAGGCCCAAGTTTCTGGGGACTTGCCCAAATGGCGGCTCGAGAGTGTCAAAGAGCGAGTTCAAATGCTAGTTCAAGTGATAAGAGAACCGCTCTTGGCCTTTCTTGAGAAACTATTGTGGCGAACCCCGAGAACCATGCGCTGAGATTATAGCGACACCCTCATGGCACCTGCGGAGGCACCTACAGAGACCAAGTGAGTTATATGCAACCTATTCAATCATATGCAAAGGGGGGGTTGAACACTACCGATGCGAGGAGAGCATGCTGCGTGAGACCAAGATGATTTATGACTCGAGCGAGAGCTTCGTGACCACCGTCAATCTGAACGGCCCCAAGAATGGCCTCGACTGCAGTGGCAACCATTGCTGGACTGGGGGGACGAGATCCTCCATTCATGTTGATGCACTTATCAAGACCACGCTCCTTGCCAATTCTAGCGAGGTTGCTGTTACTAATTAGATCGCCACGGATCGTAGTCCAGCAATCTTATCTATCAGCTCAATGCAATTCAAGTTGCTTTTGTGACCCAGCACTAACGGTTTGAGAGTCCTCGCTTGATCCAAAGGTTGCACAAGTGAAATGCAGCCGCTGAATCGCCATAAACGGCGAGACGGTCGTTCTTGGGCATCCATTTGGTAGAACCATCGATGAGGATCAGACAGTTCCAGTCTGCAGCTCTGTTCAACGCTTCTGCGCAGAGTGTCTTGGAACTAAACTCGTATGCGATGATGGACTCGCATTCCGAGACCTTTTGACTGAAGTTGAGACATGAGGTCATGATTGCGCTAGGTCATTAAAGATGAGTGTCAGAATGAGATTTTGTGTTTGAAAGTTTGATGAGAAGCGGTGAAACAGATTTGAAATGTTGCGATGTCAGCAACGTCATGAAATGAGGGGTAAGTTCATGGCCTGGCTGTACACATATCATTGGATGCTGTGCAAGCAGGAGGCCGACCATGCACTTTGTAGTTGTGATAGGGTTGAGAGCCCCAACGCACAAAGGTAAAGAACACAAATAAGACAGCATCTATCCAGGTGTATCTGTCAACAAACACTTTACTCTGCCGTCGTAAGTCATCTCCATCCATTTCAATTTCCCCAAAGGCTGGCTACATGAGCACCAGGTTATCGCATTTCATATCGTTACGCAGAAGCCCTTCAATACACGAGACACGATTTGTATTAAGAGTATTCTGCGATATTAAAATGTGAACATCTTAGGATGACTGGTGTGACTGACTTGAATATGTTTACCGGCCACCGTTGGCTGATTCTTTACAATGCTCTTCTGCGTCATTGTCTGCACATCACAACTTTCTCTGTGAATATTCAGGCAACTACGTCAAGCGCTATTTGTAACATTCCTTCAGCATGTACGTTTGGGAAAATACCTTAACACTTTGGCCTCGACGAGGACATCCAAGTCAATGCTTCATCAACCTACCTGGGCTCGCTGTTTAGGTGAGGAACAACACAAATCATAAGCCACCACATTGGATTCGTCCGATTGGTTTCGGCGTAAAAAATGTGAGATCTATACAACTAAGTTTCTTTGTTTCCGACTCATCCGAAGTAGTGGTTTCATAGCCAGGGCCGGTTGTCCTCTCCCTTACCAAACCCCTTTTCGAAATTTGAGGCTGCAAGGCAACCAGCTCAATCATACCTTGGATCGGACATCCCGGCTTCCTCCTGGGTGGCTATAATGCAACTTCCCATACCAGAGACCAGAAGCGAGTTATTTCGGCCTGAGTCTGTTTCAAGAAGGTCATCAAGTCAGCCCCATATCTACCTCGTATCGCCAAGGCTCTTGCACGTGAATGGCACTTCCGATCAGCGCGAGTGCCGAAAACAAGCTTTCCAAGAGCCGGGGATTAAATCGCCGGTCTAGATCGTCTGCCCCAAAGGACCATCTTTCCTTGTATCATTGGTTGCCGTTTTGTAATCTGCCTCGGGCCATTATTATATGTGGAGATCCCAATGTCTAAGCCTCATGATGATGACTGCTATTTTCGATATTGACTTTCGGAACGTGCCGGTAGTCCCAATGCCCTGGTCGAGGGAGACGCTCGGCAGCGATATCCGTCCCGTTTTAGCCGCTTTTTGCTGAGAAGCATCATGATGCGCTGTTTGGATCTGGACTGTTCGATTTGAGGGCATCAGAAGTCCCAGAGGTTCCGAAGGGCGGTCGCCCGGGCGTGAGGGAGACGCGTCAGCTCATAGCTTCTAGTAACTCACAGCTCTTGTTGATCTTCGGCGGTAAAGCTCCTAGCCTAATGTATGAGAGTGCTGATCCAAGATTCCTTTGTTTGTGTCAACACCATCATTTAGCAGTCTGAGGTCGAGCTTTGGGACTTTTGCTGCTAGTAACGTAAAGCTTTCGTGTTAATTTATTAGTAAAAAATCTTCTTTCTACTTGCGACATGCCTTATCCATGTGCATTCCAGTGATTGTAACAGAATCATTTTTGCCAATTGGAAGACAAACGTCTTTGATGGAGGTAATGGGAATAACGGTCTGGCAGCTTGAAGTCAGGCCAATTTGATTGGTCCTCCCGTAACGCGGGCTGAAGCATAGCCCCATGAGTGGCTTCAATCAAATCTGGGGTAATTCAGGGCAAAAGGGGCATTGCATTGTCAATTGGTAAAAGTATCGAATCATGAATACGAACAATGCAAGGCATCTCGGTAGTGACGGGATATTTCCCCACTTACACACAGTTGACATAAAGGCACAGCTAACTCTACCAGTGGCAGTGCTCAATGTTTTTATGACAGCCCTGTCAGCTTCATTGCCGATCAGCCGTACAGCCCCAGTGTTTGACTAAGAGGCCGATATCCGAGACGGGAAGTTTCAATATACATGTGCTTGTAGTGTAAGTGAGCTTAGGGGGTTTCTGTATAGGAGAGGTATATAACCATATGAGCTCCCCAGCATTCTATCGTATCATTCACAAACAACACTCTCATCCATCCACTCAACACACAAACTCAACTACCAACTCATACCTTCATCATGCTTCTCAACAAGGCTTTCCTCGGCGCCCTCCTCGCCATGGGCACAGTCACCGCCCTCCCCAACCCCGACGCTGAGCCCGTTGATCTCGAGGATCGCAGCATCCTTCACCACTGCGGCAAGCACGCTTCCTGGGATCACGCCAAGAGCGAGTGTGTGTGCCACGACTCTGGCAAGGTCTACACCAAGAAGCACCACAAGTGCAAGTGCCCCAAGGGCGAGAAGTGGCACCACATTGAGAAGAAGTGCAAGAAATAAGCGTCTGCACTAGACGTCCCCTTCGAAACCATCAAAACAAGACGACCTCACTCGGCATTCGCCACAAGGCGTTTACATATGCACGGCCAAGCTATATTATATGGACTCAGAACTATATCGTTGGCTTCAAGGGTTGGCACTGTGGCGGAGTTGGCAGATGGATCTTGGAAGGGGTATTCTGTAACTATACTGTTTATATATCGCGTCAAGGAACATATTCATTGAATCACGTTTAATTTACCTTTGGTGTCTTACACGTCTCCTTAAACGTGCATTTAGGCTGAATAGCAATTGCTTTTCATACTCACGATGCCGAACAGCCGTGCAACTGCATACTCTGACCGAATATCAGCATCAAAAGCGTCTTAGTGCCATGGAACCAGCAAGTCGGTCCGAATAAGACAATTAATAAAAGATCATGAGCTTAAGTCATGAATGTCTGGGGACCCCAGATTCTACTTAATTTATTTATAGGTTCTCAGTTCCTAACACCTCAAGATGAGGGTCGCCGTCGCTCATCTCGTCGCCGCATTACTATCCTACGTCTCGGCATCACCATGTGTAGGTGCCCAAGGGCAAGCGATGTAACATGGTGGTAACTAACAGATCCAGTGTCATCAATTGAAGGAGAGTCTCGGCGATAAAATCAGCTTTCCTGATAACAATAGCTACAACGCCACGTTAACTAGCTACTGGTCGAAACAAGAGTCTGCCCTTCGCCCCAATTGCATCCTGCAACCTACCACCGCCCACGATGTCGCCGCTGCCCTGAAGATAATCAGCAAGCACAAAGACTGCAAATTCTCAATCAAAGGTCATGGCCATGCTCCAGCCGCAGGCTTCGCCAACTCCAACGGCGGCGTGACCATTGACATGACAACTCTGTCATCCGTATCTCTTAAAGAGAAGTCAACCATTGCAAGCATCGACGCAGGCGCAAAGTGGCTCGGCGTTTATCAGTATCTCGACGGCTCAGGTGTTCAAGTCGCTGGCGGTAGAAACGGGAATGTCGGTGTTGGAGGCTTGCTTCTCGGTGGAGGAATATCGCATTTCACTACCAAGGTTGGATGGGCTTGTGACAAAGTGGTCAATTATGAAGTTGTACTCGCTAATGGTACTCTTATCAACGCAGATAAGAAAGAGAACTCAGACTTGTTCCTTGCTCTGAAGGGAGGGGGAAACAACTTTGGTGTTGTTACGCGCTTTGACGTTGAGGCGTTTCCGCAGGGCGACATTTCTACGACAAGCATTTCCTACGATATTGCTGAGAGGGATAAGGTGTTCCGGGCTTTTACCGACTTACTAGACTCATCTACATACGATCCTGCAGCGTCTCTAGTTACTAGTCTTCTTTACAGCTCCGCTTCCAAAGCTTGGTCACTGTCAGCTTCGGCTGTATACACCAAGCCCGTTTCTCAACCAAAGATCTTCAAGGGTCTTTCGGATGTGCCTCATACGAAGCTGGTCGATAATATCACGACCTTGGCAGAGTTTGCGGATGAGAAAGATACATCGCCATTGTAAGTTACCGAGTTCCTGCTTTGAGCTGGATCAAACGAGCTCTGACAGACATAGGAACTGGCTGTTCGCGACGTTGACTCTCAAGCCATCCGCACAGAATATGCAGCATATGTTTGAGACTCTCAACAACACTATCTATTCTTTCAACCCACAGGATGGCGTGACTTGGAGCATCGCTTTTGAGCCATTGGTAGCAGCAATGCTGAAGGGTTCCAAGCACACCAACGTCCTTGGCCTTCAAACAGCGCATGATGGCTACAGTAAGTACCTATTGGATGATCTCATGAGTCTCTGCTAACAATTATAGTTGTGCTCATCTCAGCTCTGTGGCCGAACTCAGCTGTCAACTCGAACGTCGAAGGGACAGCCAAGAAGGTACTGTCAGTATGGGAAGAGAATGCTCGCGGGAAGGGACTGCTGCAGAAGTTCCAGTACCTCAACTACGCTGCGCCATACCAAAGGCCTTTTGAGTCATACGGAGATGATGAGCGGGAGTTTCTCAAGTCAGTTAGTAAGAAGTATGATCCTGCACAAATCTTGCAGCGGAGAGTGGGTGGCTTCAAGCTGTGAACTCAGTAAGAACACCAAGGACAGGCAGGAAAATTAAGGACCATGACCCTAAAGATGAAGTGATTTAGGTAAATCTAGTCTAAGCTTAGGGGACTCTTTACTAAGTTTATTCTGGTATCCTCCATTCAAATGGTGAGGTTCCTTACTCCCGGAGAAACGCGTTGCAGCGTCCGGCTCCAGAAGAATATCGATAGTAGCAACAGCACTCGTTATACAATATATATGCAAAGCAAACTTAAACAGGCTGTCAAGGCTTCCATGCAAAGAATCTAGTGTACATTTCGTGTATCTCCTGTATCTCGATCTACTAGGTATCACATCTATATAATATAACATCCTAAACCCTCGACGCCTTCGTCTTGGATCCAAACGCACCCAAAAGCATCATGAAGATGTAAACAATCATCATATACAAACCCTCAACAAAACAAACCGCCGCAACAGGATCGCCAGCGCCTCTTCTAACAGCGCCAAACATCCACTTTGCATCCTTCTTGGCCTCACCAACAGCCCACGTCAACGGCGACGGCTTGGCAGGTCTCTCCTTGAGCTTGGGCCGTGAGCCAGGGAAATCAGCGACGCCTTTCCGCTTGCCCTCGAGATCTTTGAGAGTCAGGGTGTGATTCTCATGCTGGCGGTTGCGCACGCTTTCTTTTGTGAGCATACCACGGATGGTCTCTTTTTCAGAGGCAGTGTTGTGGTTCCACCATTCTTCGACGGCTGTGAACATGTATTTCTGGATGGGCGTTTTGTGGCGTGGGAAGGCGGGATGATGCATGATTGTGAGGATCTGGCGGATTGTTTCCTCTGAGTCGCGAAAGGGGTCATCCCAGCATTTGACGATCTGCTGCGTTGTCCAGTTTGTCGTGACGGAGGATACAAGACCTGCGGGTTGGTTGAGAACGTTGCTGAAGTGATCCTTTGATATGTCCGAATGGCTGGGATCAGACCCATCGCCATCGAGGTATACCTCAGCAGAAGTCGACTTCGCAGCTTCAGCATCTACACGCTCTTTCGCAGCCTTGAGTCCATTGCGCAACTGCATGATGGAGCTCTCAATCATGAGCGACAGGTACTTGAAGACAAGCTGGTCCGTGTATTTGCCCAGCTGCGTGCTCGACTCCTCCGACAGCGGCTCAGCATCATGTTGTTCCGTGCGCTCTTGTATCCATTTCTTGATTCGATCGTGGAGGTAGAATATCGGCTCGATGGTCTGCCAAAGCTGATTGGCGTCGAGGCTACTCGCGGCAGTCGAGCTTTCCTTGTCCTCTTCGGCTTTCTTGAAGAGCACGCCGACGGTCTCGAGCTGTTGGAGAATGGGGTCGTTCGTCTTGGAGGTTAATTTGCTAATCGCTTGGATCGCGGCTTTGAGTAGGTCGAAGATGTGCTGGAAGGCGATCTCGCCGAGGTTCAGTTCCTGTTGGCTGTCAGCACGGGCATGTGAAAGGAGGGGGTCGGGTTGCGCACGTTCTCGAGGTTTTGTAGTGAGCCTTTGCACTGGAGAACGGCCATGTCGTCGGCTTCACCGAGAATACTGTGGAAGATGTCAAGCATTCCGAAAGTGCCAGTTACGATGGGCGGTACCATGCGACTTCTCCATCGTGGGGTCTTGACGCGACAGGCTTCGCCGACAAAGGCAAAGACGTCGTGCTCGCCTAGTTCGTGTAGGCAGAGCTCTGTAAAGTTGCTATGCGCCGAGAAGTCTTCGAGAGTATGAAGTGCAGCGCCAAGATGAATGAACGCTTCCTTCTTGGACTTTGGGTTCTTCTCGCGCCCGAGTCGTATGCACTCGCGTAGCTCTCGCGTGACGTAATCGGCAGATGTATCCCAGCCTTTGCCCGAGTTCGCAATGTAATTCTTCATGCCCGTCTTGGGATCAAACTCGAGTTCGCGTGGATCCAAAGGTCCTCTCAGTCGTTCGTCAATCTCCTTGGCATTACTCGGATATCCCTTGGGGTTGTCGATATGCTCCACATGAGTGTAACATCCCAAGCGCTCGCGCGTCACCTCAAACTCATCCGTCGCGAAGCCAAACTCCAAGAACCCCATAATGCTAACAATAGCTCTGAGAACCGGTTCAGGAACATTGTCAAGGCCTGTTGTATCGATGATCTGCGAAAAGTCGCGCAGCCAGTTCCCAAAGTAAATCTGTCGTCGCTCGAGCGTTGAAAATCTGTAGTGCGTTACGAAACTGGCCGGGAGGTACCGCAGGGCCTCGACGATGTCGCCATGACGCCAGACGTAGCCGTTGAACTCGCTAGTGCCCGCTACTTCGCCTGCGCCAAAGGCTGAGACGCGGTCGGCCAAGAGGAGGCATACGAAGGCGACGAGGAGAAGTCGTGTTGCCAATGCCATTTCGACGGAATGAGATGTGACGTCATAAATGCATTCAAGATTGACAAAAAGGAAGGATCAGCGTCATCGATGTCTTGGTAGGGTTTTGCTTCCGGATCATTCTATCCCCGCGCCGACTCATCAATCACGAGCATGAATCATGGGGCCACTGGAAACGCTATCGGAAATAAACAGAGACTGCCAGTGGTAGCTTCAATGTTACGTTGACGAGTAAGGCCAAAGTCAATCTGCACTTCATCACTGTCTATCTACGACTTCTCTCTAGAGCTTTGCACTCGCTGATAAAGTGAAGAGATTTCGACCGTCATTAGCCCTGTTCACATGACCCTTCATGCCAATTGGCTCTCCATTGGCACTCGCAAGAGTCGCCAACGTATGTTCATCACCATGGTTTGCAATGAATCTCTGTCCATTCTCAACCAATCTTCCAATTATATGGCCGAGCTTGGGTCCCTTACGATCATAGTCCACAGTATAAGTCTGTGATCACGTTAGATAGATGCAAGCGATCAGGACATGTCACAAACCTCGATGACAGCTTCGCCTTGCGTTGTCGGGGTGAACGCTGGACCTTGAGAAACATCACCATTGTCAAGAACTTCTCTTTTCGCATATGTGGAGGTAATCCGTCGCGGCTGAGCCGATAAACAAAGAGCATATTGCCAGGATAGAATGCCTCCGTTTGCAAGTACCAGGCCATTTTGATGATTTCGGCTTCGAATGACTCTTGTCATCTCCGCGATTGCCTGTCAAGAATTTTAGAAAATGTATTCAGATTCTGAGAGAAACTTACGTGAAGAGAATAGTTGTTGCCTGCACCGCCGAAGGAAGTAAGGCCACCAAGCAAAGTGATAGGCTTGGCGGGTCTCTGAACATCCAGACCGACATGCTTACAAGCGAGTTTCGGGACGATGGGAAAGCACCTATAAACATTTTAGTTCCACTTCGACTTCCATGTTCACTGAACTGACGAGTAGAAGTCAAAGCAATCGATCTCGTTCTTGGTGATCGCAGCGGATTCGAGGGCCTTGTCGATAGAGTACTCGATAGCAGGACTAGAGAAGTAGTTTGCTCGCTCCCAGACTAGACTAATGTCAGTATCACCTCACTCGAAGGGTAAAGATTGACTGACATTTCGAACTATCGTTCGAGCCAGCGCCACCAGTGATGTACACCCATTTATCCTGGGGGACACCAAGCTTGGTAGCATACTCGACAGAAGTGATGATACAGGCCGCCGCCAGATTCACACCGTTAAATGCATTCATCAACAATGGATCTAAATAGTTAGCTGATAGTCAGAGCCAATGGCGACTATACATACAAGGTGTGCAGATCATCCGATTCTGCTTGGTTACCGTCTTGATAGCATCAACGTCCCGTGGTGTTTCGCCTGCTCGCCAACTGATCGGATGTTTACAGGCAATCTTGTCAAATTCAGCGTAAAGGACTGCAGATTCATGGTGGTTCTCATGGAATGTTTGCTGGTTATGCTTTCTGTATGCATTTTCGTATAGAGGGTATACTTGAATTGGCATTCCGATGGAGTGCGAGGCACCGACATCTTCATCTTATTAGACACTCTCCAATGAAAGGTTTGAGTTGAGGCTCACCTTTCAAGAGTGCAGGGTCACTCGGGCCATATAACTTTGCGCCGGGAGACATCTCAGTCCATCCGGGTGGAGGAAGACGCCCAGCTTTCTGACACGCAAGCACTGGAATACGTTAGCCAAAAGCTCTTCGTTTCAGTATGACTTTGACTTACAGGACGCCATCGCCTCTCCTCCTGTAACAATTGCCAATTTGGTTTCCCCGGCCGCAACTCCTGCAGCTGCCGCGTCGCACAGCAACGCAGGCGTATGACCTCCATGGCTCGAGAGCTCGAGATGCGAAGGTTCAACCCCAAGTTTCTGAGCAAGATACTTTGGTAGATCATCATATGTCCAGGACCAGGGAGGAACAACGGAAATACTATCTACGTGTTTGATGACATCGACTGTCGTGTCCTTGGCAGCATTGCGGATCGCTGATAAGATAAGCTCTGCCGGTTCGAGGGTATTTTCGAGGGTGAAGTTCTTTTGGCGGATTTCTCCGACACCGATAATAATTGGGTCTTGAGGTAATGGAGACATGATGGCAGTATTGATTAGTGAGAGTTGGAGAAATGATAATTGTCAATTGGTATGCGCGACACTGGTCGGTGTTTATTTAATTAAATTGCTGAAGGTATTCGGAGTTATGAGGGGTATCTTGAGCCTCGGCATGTCAAGGGCCTTAAGAGTCTTACTCAGCGAGGGATCGCCGAGAAGCCCTTCTTCCTCGGCTCGTTGTTTATTCTCCGTCTGCTCTTTAGGCCACTTGAATATTTGTAACATAATGATGATTAATTGGGCTACTCTTGCAATCTTGCTGCAATGATGGAAACACGACGGGCTTTACCTGCTCTCGGACCCTGTGAATAGCCGAATGCCGCAATCATTGTATTCCATGACTCAGAAAGGACTTGGCATGATACGATGGCTTTAGAAAGTCCTCATAAGACGCAGTCTCTCCCCTTGAATATGACAGCCAGATACCAGATCCAGTGATTTTTCTCTGAGTATGACAACAAAACTAATTGAAGTCGACAGCCTCGACATTCATGTCTTGATCAATGATGAAATTGACCAAATCTCGCCGAGCCCAAACCCTCAGGTTCAGCATGCCCAATCCTTCGCCGGTGTCCCGTTGAGCCACGTGTCAGACCCTAACTCTCGGGGAGGAGCTCGCTTGGAAATGCCAATGCGAAATATCTGCTGCGGCGCTCATGGTCTGTCCTTGTTTATCGTGGGATTTGTCCTCTCTACTACCGGTATCTTGTACTAAGCCCTTGACAGACAGCGAAGAAGGACGATAAATCTCACACACTGCTCTTCGATGCCGGGCCTGAGGAAGACGTTTTTGAGAAAAACGTTCAGAGGCTCAAGCTACCGATGACCGAAATTGGTGCCATTGTTCTTTCGCATTGGCATAGAGATCACTCTGGCGGTCTTCCCTCCGCGATTCGACTCGCTAGCAAAGGGAGGCCAGACGGCGATCAGGTCGTTGTTGCGCTTCCTCCAGATAAGCCAGCGTTTAGAGGAATTATGTTCGATCAACCTATCTCGCTAGAGGCAGATCCCACCACGGATGAGATCAACAGTGCTGGTGGCAAGACCGTTATCTTGGATGAGGCACAGACCATTCTAGGTGATGCCTTTCTCATATCCGGCGAGATTCCGCGCCAGACAGACTATGAAGGTGGCATCCCCGGTGGTGTTCGGTATGACCCAGCCAAGGATGAATGGATCAAGGACGAGTTAATCATGGAAGAACGCTTTGTCATGTGTAAGCTCAAAGGCAAGTCCCCCCCATCGCTCAATCGATCAACGTATCTAATGTCTCTGCAGACAAGGGCCTGGTCATCTTCACAGGCTGCAGTCACGCCGGTCTCATCAACATCGCAAGACATGCGAGAACCATCGACGACATCCCTATCTACGCTATCGTCGGCGGCTACCACCTCGCAGATGCGTCACCTGAGAAGATGGAGCAGAGCATGAAGGATCTCAAGGATCTCGAGCCGGTTTTGCTGATGCCGGGACATTGTACAGGATGGAGGTTCAAGGGGCTTATTGAGAAGGAAATGCCACGTCATATGGCTCCTATATTTGGCGGAACAAAGTATACGCTGTAGATTCGACACTTGTTGTTTCTTTTGGTCTTGAACATGGAGTGGATATCTCATTGGGGATGGTCAATGCGACACTACACGCGCTGGACAGTTGCAACGCTTCAATGAAGAGACTTCATTGAAGACACAGCCATTTGGTCGCCTAACAAACGCTATGCATCTCTCTCGGTCTCTTTCAATGCCCGTATAACTGATCGCCTTTACCCGTTTCGGGATGCAACGTCAAACAAAAACAAGGAAGGGTTCCCCGCAGGTAAAATACCCCATGCGTCGGTGATCGACATACCTTAACGCAAACTCAAGATGCGCACCTATTAGCAATTGAATCTGTGATCGTATGTTAGGTCGTGGGGTAGCCGCACCTATCGAATCGTGGGTATGGTGTCATGACTTTCCATTCTCGTCCCGTCTGCATCTAGGACCCGAAAGTTTAATGGTTAAATGCTTTGGACCCGGATTGAATACGCGCTTTCATGGAAAAAAGCGAGTATAAAAGTACCAGATTACTATGTTTTCCAGCTTGCGTCGATAGTTCTCCCATCATTGTCAATATGGCTTCCCTTGTATTTGCCACGTTTCTTGCCAGCGCATATGGCAAGACAGTCAAGTCTCCTACTCCACCGATGGGATGGAATAGCTACAATCACTACAACTGTCGGCCGTCTGAGGACATCATCAAAATCAATGCCAAAGGGTTAGTTGACCTTGGTTTCAAGGATCTTGGCTACAGCATCGTCACCGTCGACTGTGGTTGGCCTTCGAGGGACCGAGATAGCGAAGGAAGACTTCAATGGAATGAGACTCTGTTCCCGTCAGGTCCCAAAGCCCTTGGAGATTATATCCATGATCTGGGTCTAGAGTTTGGTCTTTATTCAGGAGCTGGATACTTACAGTGCGGTTCAACTGACATTCCTGCTTCTCTTGGTATGTGCATTGTATAAGTGGTTATAAACTCACCAGTGCACTAACTGATAACAATAGATTACGAGGAGATTGATGCAAAGTCATTTGCCGAATGGGGAGGCGATACCCTCAAGTAAGATGATCTTCTGTAACTTACGAAATCTCGTCATTGACAATATCTAGATACGACAACTGCTATGCGACATCCAAAACCAACATGGTCGACGCCAGTTCAGCTGAAGCAAAGAGTCCCAACCGCTTCATCAAGATGGCCGCGGCCATCAATGAAACCGATCGCGACATTCAGTACTTTCTCTGCCAATGGGGTATTGGCGAAGATGTTCCTCAATGGTAAGCATCACAACAAATTGCAGTTCCTCTTCTAACAAGAATCAGGGCTGCTCCTCTCGGTAACTCCTGGCGAATGAGTAATGATATCTTCAATGCCTGGAGAGCTATCTGGCGCATTACTAACCAGGTTGTCGCTCACGCGAAATACAATGGGCCAGGCGCTTTTGCTGATATGGACATGTTAATGTGAGTTACATTGCTCATCCGTCGTGGCATATGCTGACAGCCGTAGTATTGGTCTTGGTGCACTTTCACACGATGAAGAACGTTTCCACTTCGGCTTCTGGTCCATGATGAAATCACCTCTCATCATCGGCGGTGTAATGGACGCCAAACAGATCCCTGCCGAATCTCTCGAGGTCATGTCCAACAAAGAAGTCATAGCTATCAATCAGGATCCATTAGCAGAAGCGGCGAAGCTCGTGATTCGATACACCGAGGAAGAGTGGGATGTCTGGGCTGGAAATCTGTCCTCCGACCGCAAAGTCCTCGGCGTTTTAAACTGGAAGAACGAGACGCAGACCGTCAAGGTCGATCTGTCGCTGATTGGGGTTGGACAGGCGGCGGCACGAGACGTATGGGCTCACGAGGATCTTAGCATTTCTGATTTCCAGGAATTCAAACTTGCGCCTCATGAGTTACGACAGCTTATCTTATCCGACATTACTCCAGCTTCACCCCCCAAAGCCGCAGGTTACTACTCAGCTCAAGACGCGACTCTCTCAGGTTCAGCTTCTCTCATCAACTGCAAAGACACAGAATGTCTTCCAACTCACAAAAAGGTCGGATCCATCGGCAACGGTGCTAAAGTGACTTTCAGGTCAGTCAGTGCACCTAAGGACGGTTCAGTCTATCTTGGCATCGATTACATCAATCATGAGTACCATCACACGATCGGCGATTGGGAGACAAACTCCCGGAATATGTCGATCTCGGTCAATGGAGAAGATGCAAAGCGATGGGCGTTCCCGAATGCTGGAGGTGATTGGTTTGAGAGCGACCGGCTTACGATCCTTGTTGATGGGTTCAAGAAGGGAGATGGCAACGAAGTGACTTTTACTGCATCTAGCTCGAGCAGTTGGGCGCCTGATTTAGTTGGATTTGAGGTGCTAGAGTAGTCGAAAAGACATCATCAGTGCAGCCATGTATCTTGGCATATGAATAGGGCCTCTGAATACTGATCCCACGTTTCTAGTGATGCTGCATAACTTTATGCCTTACAAGGATATGCAATTACCCTCTTGATCCCTGTCAGGCAGGCAGGCAGGACATGTTTTGAGTGGAATACCCTACAGTTGAGCAACCAGCAAGGAATTCAGGCTTTGTAAAAGACGAAAAGGCCTCGACTTAGAATGGGGAGGACTAAAGAATGATAACTACTAAGCTTGATGCGGTATGTAATTAAACGCGACTCCTATTACACAGGTCTTTTTCTGAAAAACAGCAGCATGCAGTAGGATTATGTACATTCTAGTCCAACAGACCACAAACACAAGACCAATACCGCAGATCCAGTATTATAAGAATAAAATAAGTTACTATCTCTGATATAAAGGATCAACTGCCTTGAGTATTTAAAATCTTAGCTAATTAATTAAAATGATAAATTCTTACCTCTACTAAGTTATAGGGTTATTGTGGCTAAGTCTCGGGTAATTGCCAAGTGCCCCTATCGCGGCAAAATGACCTCAAATTGTTAAGCGAGACAGAACAATACGCGTAGATAAAAGTGGCTAAAAATACAAAAAGAAATCCCCGAAACCTGGATCGAACAAGTGACCTTTCGGTGAGATGTGTTATCAATTACAGCCGAACGCTCTTCCAGCTGAGCTATTCGGGGATTGTTGGTGAAAGGGCGCCGCAAATTGGCGAGATGTCGACAGCCGACACTGACGATCGCGACAGATCGTTGATGCTTGTTACTGTTAATGGCGTCCCTATTTTGAGCGCGGCTTCAAAGCGTCAGAAGAACGCGTTAGCTGTAGATGGTATACTGATACAGTAAGACATCAGTCTCACCCATGTCACGATGAGATTCACAATAGAGAGACAGAATTGAATGCGAAAAGAAGCACTGAATCTAAAAGGTAAAAATCACGACAAGGCAAATGAAAAAGACAAAAAAAAAAAAAAAAGAGATATAGCTAGCAGCTATCAGTTTCGATCTGATGACCTCCGGGTTATGAGCCCGGCTATGGGAATTGTTAGTGCATGTTTGAGATGAGAGGATGCGAAATCACATACCGCGCTTCCACTGCGCCAAGCTGCTTTCTTGCGATGTTTTGCCGAGTTCTTTTTGCGCTCTATCAAGGGTCCCGTTCCGCGTATCACTCTAATTCGACCTTGCAATCCGGCATTAATGTCTTGTTGATTGCGGGGCTCGCTTGGATTTAACAGCTTGTTTGTTAAACACATGCATTAAACTCGGGCAGAGAGCCGATGTCTGCAAAACCTTCAGCGGCATCCATGCATGACGCGTGACGATGTCTTCAAGGGTATTTTCAGCTCGCTTAGCACTGACCATCGTGACAGCTTCTTGAGACGAAACGATGTAACGATCGGGCAGCTTCCCGAGCAGGGATCATCTGCCTGTCAATATCTTTCGGCCGATTCTCGTTAGTGATACCACCAGCCGGGAAAGCTGCACCCGAAGGCTTCTCCTTAATCAGACGAGGTCTCCAAGATGTGGATATCGAGTCAATGCGAACTCGGAAGACTATTGACGGGACCCCTTTTTCGGGAGCACGTGGATTTTCTTTTTTCAACGGCGCACGGCTGCTCGATACGAGTTACCCGATTATTACCGTTTGGGCTTGAGTCAGGGCGATCAGAAGTCTTATGATTGCGGGTTCAGTGATCGGGTAATTCCGATGCTGTTAGCCGGAGAAAAGAGATCCTATAGTTGCTTTGGCGGACACTTGTGCAGATTGGGGCGCTGACTTGGAGGCTTTTAGCTCAAATAGTTTGTCTGACAGATTAACTGCACCGTTGATTTTGAGTCAGGCTAAGAACATCGAGGCAAAACGTCTTTGCAAGCAAGACGACGGAAGCGTCAATCATTTGGTTCGGGAAACATGTTACAAAATGCGAGAAATTAAAAATGGAGTCAATAAACAAGAAAGACCAAGCTATTATGTATTAGACACGAAAATGAAGCAACTGGTGACATATAAGAACCATAATAAATCATCGTCGTCCCCGAGGGAACCCCATAAAATGGACCCGGAGCTGAATGTCCAAGGGCCAAGGATCATCCGCCAGCCGTTTCCCTCTTCCGCAACCGTCTACGCCCGTTCCCTCGCGATGGAGCGAGTCAGTCGAGGCACAGGCGACGACATTACTGAGATCTCGTTGGTAGATCGCGCTCATCCCTGTCTTGGCCTAGTCCCCCTTTGAGACTTAGTCTAGAACGAATTTCATGCCAGGCCCCAGACTCAAAACTTTAGCCAAACTTTATTGACCAAGCCAAGATGCGTGGTTGTCTTTATGGAAGGAGGGGAAGTTGATGGGAGATGAAGGGTTGGGGTAAGGGGAGGATCGTCGGGGTTCTTTTGTATTGTTCGTGGGTGAGACAATGGGAGAGATCTTCGATTTGTAACGGTGATGATGCTTATTAGCCACATGTTCCAGACTGAGATACATACCAGCTGATCATGAATCGAACATCCAAGCCTCTAGCCCTCTTCCCCGGCAATAGTCTCCTTCCCCAGTGACGGTAGTGGAACAATCCTTCGCGTGTCAAACCTCAGCCCACCCCAGCCAAGCCTAACCACACGCAGACTGGGTCAAGGAACACGCAGAAAACGCCATCTCCATGGTCCCCTGCCCTCCAGTCCCTTTTACGCACATAAGATCAGCGCGACTGTCTCTCCCCCCTCCTCGCGCTGTCTCCCACGTCTTTTGTTTTTTTCTTGGCAGGCTGACTCGGGTCGACCATGGATTACTTCGAGGTATGCTGGTCGATCTTCAGCACCATCTGTCTCGTCAATGTCGTTTTTGGTATTTTGGTCTGTGAGATTACTACGTTTACTGTGCTAGCTGCTGTGCCGATCTTTTCGTCTGCGGCAGGGGCTATTGCGAATGGGCTCTGCTATTATGTTTACTACCTGAAGAATCCTGTCATCAACGAAGTGGTAGCGGCTGTGTTCTCGGACTTCTTCTGGCTGGTATGATACCTTCTGGATCAATTGTATGTGAATGTTACTGACGATGTCAATAGTTGCAAGAAGCCAGTCTGTTGCTGTACAGTTATATCATCCTTCAACGAGTTCTCCGACCGAAGCAATGGCGCGTCTTTTCTATTCTCTTCTGGACCCTCATGGTCTTGACGGCGATCACTCGAGTCTTTATCGCCATCTACCGCGCCAAGTTCTTGATTGAAGGTGTCGCTGAGTTCGAAGTCATCATCAACTACCTTCACATTGGCTACTTCACCTCCATGGCCATCTCCGAATGTCTCAGCGCTTATTTCCTTGTCGTCATCTTTGCCTCAGCCAAGACAGCCAGTATGAGCGCTGCTCTCAAAGTCGGTCTTCTGCGATATCTGACACGCAGTACCGAAATGCGTGTCGCGTTCTTGGCTGTACTAGGAGTCGTGCGAACTATCATCCATCCGTTCCAAACTCCGGGTCAGAAGGCAGTCAACATCGCTAGTCAATTGGATCGCTTCCTCTACGCTCTATTCTGTCTATACCCAATTGTTCTATAGTAAGTCTCATTTTATCTCATCTGCTACAAAGCTAACCGAGTGCAGCTTTGATACACTTGCGTCCAAGCTTCGCTTCAACGAGGACCGATCGATATATACCCATAGTGACCAAGCTGCTGCCGGCAACCGCTACGGCTTAAGCACTCAGACAAGATGCTACACGACAACAAAGTCCAATTACGCCTCGAAGATGTATGGGGCCGATACCCCAGGAGATAGGAATGCTTCGCAAGAGCAAATTGTCCCGGCCAATGGATCCACCCGGTCCGGAGTATCGGAAGTTGAGATGGAAGACATGGATGTCGAGGGATTTGTTATCAGGAAGACGACTGAGGTTACAGTCACATAGTTACTTAAAGGCCTACATCGCGCCGAACAATATCATAGATTTTCTAATACATAATTGTGCAAACAATTCCACCTTCAAAGTTCCTCTAAGTTATGGCGATGAAAATAAATGTCGAAGTGGCCAGAAAAGCGAGGGCCTATATCGCAGCGGAGGGAAAAACCCAGGCAAGGTGAAACATAACGTGGAACTTCAATGTCAGTCCCCGTAAGGTGCTCAACTTTGAGACCGACACATGCGCCCGTCATCTGAAACAGACCAAGCCTCACTACCGACCGCGACTGTCGCATAGAACAAGCTCTCAGGATCGTACTTCTTCTTTATCTGCAACAATTTATCATAAATGACTCCGTAGAAGGTCTCTTGCCAATCCTTCTGTTGAAAGTCTGCTTCGTTGACATACGCACCAGCACCAGGCGTTGCAGCCTCAATCACAGGTTGGATCTCCTCTGTCATTCTCTTCAGAGTAGCCAGCATCTCCTCCCATGGGGCTTCGTTATCCCAAGGAAGAGTCAGAGAAACCTGCACGATGGAATCTCGCCATTGGGGTAGTACCGAGTTGACGTTGTTGCCCCCGAATCTGGATAGGTTGAGACCGACGCCGATGTAGATGACTCCCATCTCAGCGAGCTTCTGAGCTGTTGGAGAAAAGCCCTTCAGCTTATTGCGTGGTAGCAAACGACCTCCGAAGAGCTGTGTCCCTACTTGGATGTTGCCTGCTGGGAGGGGACCCCAGTAGTGACCGTAATGCTCGTAGTAACTTGGGAAGTGCGTGAAGTTCGGTTCAAACTTGATACCAAGATCAGACAAAGAATCGGCGAGCGGCTGAAGGATCTGCTTCACCTCGGCCTCAGTCTTGTCGTACGCCGTCAGAGCTGGGATCTGAAGGAATGAGTCTGAGAAGAAGTAGATGATCATAACCCCAGAGTCAACAATCTGGGGCAGAGCAGCATGGAAATCATCGATGGCCTTATATATGAGCTCTGGCCTTCCCTGAGGTGCAGTTACAAGAAAATTGGCTCCACTGACTTGAGCTTCTGGATAAGCCCGTACAGTAGCTGAGACAACGACGCCATAGTTACCTGTACCACCACCGCTCAAAGCCCAATACAAGTCGCTATTTTCACTCCTGCTGGCTTTGACAAGCTTTCCATCGGCAGTAACGACCTCGAATTCGAGGGTGTTATCTGCTGCTAAGCCAAAATTGGTACTTAGAGCTGAATGGCCTCCTCCTTGGGTATATCCTCCCGCAAGACCAACGGAAGGACATTCTCCAGTAACGACGACCAGATTCTCAGCATGAGCAGCTGCAAGTGCCTCAAAGCCTTGAACGCCGGCGCCGACCTTGAGAGCTTTTCCTTGATAGTGACCGTCTTTCCAGTCGGTGACTTCTGTGCCCTTGAGGTAGTGAGTCCAAACAGCGAGGGATCCTGCACCGGTTGAACGACCGAGGTAATCATGACCTGTGTTACGGATGATAAGGCGTATATTTCTATCCTTGGCGAAGTTTAAAGACGCTACGACGTCGTCTGCAGTCGTGGCATTGACAGTATATCTGACGTAGTTACCGAGTGTACATGGCTTGTCCCTGGGCTGGAATGGGTCACAAGACTGATTGGCGAATAGAGGAGCCATCATGGACGAGGACGATTCCGAACTTGCATGCATTAGCAGCCGATTTGCGGACTGAAGCAGAGCGTCATGACTGGAGCCGGACTCACTGAATTGACGAATACAGCCATTCGCTTCGAAGCCGTTGACACTCCTCAGCATCATAATTCGGATCATGACATGGACTTCCCAGCGGAACCGTAGCTATCAACTTGCCACCAACCGTACTGTTGAGGTGATCCCAGTCGCCATCAGAAGGCCAGCACGCGTCACCAGGGAAGTATTTGCAGTCTGATACCGTGGCTTTACAGCCAGCTGAACCGAGCTGCAGAAACAGAACAAGGAGGTTGCGCATCGTTGTCAGTGTTAACCAATGATAGATAAACGTCTCTCATCGATTGAATGGGCGGTAAAGATGCATGAAGTGGCTGTCTTACGCAGATTTTCGGTCTTCCCCGCAAACGTACTTTTGTTTCTTTTGCTGCCCCTGTCAGCCAAGCATGTTGAGGTGGAGAACTATTGGTGTTACTGGACAAGGATGACTCTGCAATGAAGATCTTTACAACTTTATCGTAGATGGATGGAGGGAAAAGATCGACAGCTGCTTGTAATAAGAAAGAACAGTCCGTGATCTAGGTAAATATAATATGGAAGAGCAAGCATACGTAGAACCCCTTGGACTTTCCAAGTCTACAGCAAAGGCAAGATTTTCCAAGCCGGGTAAGCGAAAGGTAGACATAACTTCAAGACTTAGCCCTCAACTGCAGCTATTCCTTCATCATCTCGAACCAACTTCGCTTGGTTATAAGCGTCATCATCCGTTGGCAATTGCAGATTGACTGCTGCAATCCGAGCTGCGCTGACTTCCAAGTCACCATCGCCTTCCAATGCTAGCACATGGCCACCAGAGTCTCTGGTCGCTGCCAGGAAGTGAAGGTGGTCGCCTGCGACGCTGATACCTTGCATGAAAGCAGGCGATCTGAACCCAATGATCGTACCCTTGATGTCGTGGAACGTATGCGAAGCCTGTCGCTTTCCAAGCTCGGCAAGACTTTCACCTGGTGATAGCTGTCCCCCAACCGTCCGTACAGTGACTGACTTGAATGTCCCCCCAATTCTGTAGACCAGATAGTGATTATTTGTCGCAGGAAGAAGCTTCGACAGAGTCTCCGTAAACGAGTCCTTGCTCGGTATTTGTTTCGAAGCAGTAACAGTTGGTTTAAAATCCGTGATCATCGCAAAAGGCGCCGTCTGCTCAGCGCACGCATCTTTATCCAGCGCTATAACAGACCCATCAGGCTTCATATCGTAAATAACCCCATCGAGAATGATCATTTCGCCAACCATGTGTCGAAAGGTGCCAAGGCCGTGTTCGCCATGTGTGAGGAGTTCCGAAAGGGGGATTCCTGTCTCGGCGACTCCATCCATGAGGGCTGAGACAACGGAATATTGGAAGAGGTGATTGGATGGCATTTTTGGTGGGTGATGTGAGATGTGAGATGGTGTTGCGTGAGTGAGAGGCACAGCTTGTCCCTTGGTTGAGAAAGTTGCACGAATGCGGGGTCTGAGGAGCCCAATCATATGACGACATCTGGATCAAGACGTCATCAGAAATGAGGGAGGTGAGCTCAATCATCAAGAGACGGCAATGGCTTCGAGAGACCAGATGAGAAAGGAATTTTCATTTTATGCCCCAAAAACACGAGAAAGTTAGAAAGCATTGGGCAATAACTAACTGCCGGGGTAAACAGTCTTTGTGTCTGCGAGATACTGCAGATTGTATACTCGACACGGCATCATGTTCATCTAGAAACTCATGCAGGTAGTCGCCTGGAATAGAAAATACGACAACGCTTTTGGTCCAATAGCAATTGCTGGCCCAACCAGACCAACTCCCTCGTCGGGGTAAGATGTGAGATTTCAGCTGCTTACTGGTCTCTTGATAGCGCCCTCGTATTCTGTTCCAAGTTTTGATAGCCTGCTTTCTTTCCTCTGCTAAATTACAGGCAACAGCAACTGTAGACTCTCATAGCACCAACTTTAGTCCCACGTTAACTTTCATGAATCATTGGTTTGTTCACGATTGACCAGCATCTGCATTGCATTGCACACCGAATGCAAGGGAGATCTGCCCGTGACACGCTAGGGGAGGAAATAAAACTCGGAACCTAAAGCCTAAGTGATAAAAAGATTTAGGTAACTTAGTATAAATTTAGGATAAGTTTAGGATATCTTTATAGAGTTTATTTTATTATCCTAAACTTAGGTCTTGTGTTTTCTTGCTCCCAAAGGACACGGCAAGAAGCGGTATGGTGGCTGCTTAGTTGCGGGTTGCCGGGCGGGCCGACTAGCTCATGCTAGTGGCACGCTGAGCCGTTTCCCCAGCCAAACCTCGATGGTTCAGCTCGCCACAATATGCCCAATCCTCAATATTGCTGCGCCAAAGTGAGGGGAAGCCAATGGCAGGAATGTGATATGTTCACTTTTGTGAGACTGCATGAGATACTGCGCCGAGAGGGGAAGGACTGCTGACTGGCAATGGGTATAAAAACAATGGCTTGCTCAACCAAGGGCACTGTCTTCTTCCCCTTGGATCTCTATAGTCTTGAAGTCCAGTTCCTAATTTTCTGTTGAGAGAAAAACCTGGTATTTTACTTGTCACTTAGCGAAAATGGCTAAACGTGCAGAGCATCTCCCGGCGATGCCGCCCCAGGACCCTTCGTTACAGGTCCCAAGCGGTCTGCGGGTTGCTTACGCCAAGCATCTTCTCGACAAACATCTCCGCAGCCTGCGATTTGAACTGAACGATGGTGTCAGTCGCAATGAGCCACTTCCAGCAATAGGCCATGCACCTTATAAAGGACATGAGAATCCCTTGGAGCATCTCACCGAGTACAACGGTCGTGTTGCCATCGTCGGTGCTGGCGCCACGGGCTTGTATCTCGCCATGATGCTCAAGTACCTCAAGATCTCCAATGTGGATATTTACGAGGCTTCGAACAGGATTGGTGGTCGGGTCTATACGTATCCTTTCGAGAAGGAAAATGCATCTCCTCATAACTACTACGACATTGGGGCCATGCGTATCCCGGAGATTGACGCAATGCAATCGTTAGTTCGCCAAATATTCTAAATGAACAACATACTAAAGTATCGCAGGACACTTACCCTCATCGAAGAGCTGAATCTTCCGAAAACGAAGTACGTTCTTGATGCTAAGTGCGAGCCCCAGATGCATTGGTACTCCAATACCGAATCGCCAGAGTAAGGAGACCTACGTTCCACTTTGAGGAGAAGAAACCTGACCTTGAGTAGCGGTACACCATATGATGATCGAATGAACAAGATCATCCAGAGTATTGGGTCAAACTGGGACGAGAGGTTTGCGGAATGGATCGAGACTGGCAAGGATAACCATTCTACCAGAGGATGGCTCATGTTCACCGACCCAAAGTAGGTATTTCGCTGACAGTCTTTCGCAATCGCTAATGTCCTTTCAAGCTGGACTTATGACCAGACGGAAGAAGCCGAGTCCGCCTCTACGTAAGTTCTGGGATCTAGTGACACTGTCTAGTACTAACATCATGCAGGTCTACCGGTCTATTCGAACAGTCCTTCGTTGAATCCCTATGTGATTTTAGCGATTTTCAGGCCACGGCTGGTAAGCCTTGGTGGCGTCTTGAAGGCGGCATGACAGTCGTCACCGAGAAGATGAACAAATGCATCGAAGATCCTGATTGGGTTCCACACAACCCTGTCTCTCTCAAAGTCACCAAAAATACGCCTGTCGTAGCTATGACAGAGAATTATCAGGAGAATAAGATCGAGGTTACTATCAATGGAGCTGAGGGCACCAAGACAGAGTCATATGACATGGTCTTCAACACCACCGCCATGGGTCCCCTCCAGCGCATGGACATCTCGGGTCTTGTCCCCGGTTTCGGTCTTCCTCAGACTCAGAGAAACATTCTCACAGGTATCCGAGCTCTGAGCTATGATCGATCCTGCAAGGTCGCAGTCAAGTTCAAGAGCCGTTGGTGGAAGAACATGTACAAGGCTTCCAAGAACGGTAGCACTTTCGGCGGCGTGTCGGGCTCTGATCTACCAAGCAGCAACATTGTCTACCCATCCTGGGATGACGGAGATGAGAACTCTGCTGTGCTTATGACGTCTTATACATGGGCTCAGGATGCTACCCGAATGGGGTCCCTGATTCCTGACTACACGAAGCAGAAGCCGCATATTGACGATGCTGTCGTTACTCAGTGCTTCCAAGATCTCGTTAAGCTCTGGGGACAGAGTGAGGACCCCAAGATTACCGTCGAGTTTCTCAGAGACCAGTATCTCGAGCACCACGCTTTCGCCTGGTCTCACGATCCCTACACCGGCGGCGCCTTCGCTCTTTTCGGCCCCGGTCAATTCAGCTTTATCTACCCCGAGTTCCAGCAGCTCCTCTGTGATGGAAAGTTCGCCATCTGCGGCGAGGCTCTTAGTCCTCATCACGCGTGGATCTCTGGATCCTTGGATAGCGGATACCTTACCATGCTGCGATGGCTAGTCCATCTCGACGATAACGATAGAGCTGATGCATTGAAAAAGGCATGGTTTGGACGTGGAAAGGGTGAACACACTGCTGAGTATGATGGGAAGTTGATGAGATGGACTGTTGAGCTGGGTCAGCAGGCGGCTAGGAAGACTCGGAAGAAGCACCACTGAGACTGCTGAATGGTCTGGTTTATGGAAGCTTGGTGGTGTGACGCGATTGTTTTCAACTGCCTTCGCGAGCTCAGATGGAACACAAGACGCTCAAGTATGTCGGTTGCACCGAATTTGAAATTTCATAACACATCTGGATTGAATTGAATCGGAAGCAAAAAGGCCTGAGTATCGCGTTCATCTAAAAGTCGCTTCTGTGCAAGTACTTGGCTAGTGAAATTTTATTGCGGGTGAGTTTTGGCTGAATCCGACCTGTCCCGGCATTTCATAGGCTTCTGACAAATCCTAACCACATAAATTCGCTCGAAGGCATCTTGGTAGCCAAAAATCACTTGAAGAATGTCGCCTGGAATTGTTGGCCGCATCGAGATTGGATCTTGGCTTGACACATTCCTCACGCCCGATGGTCCGTCCCGACATGACTGTACAATGCACTGCGTATCGGTTCAGAAAAAGACAGCAATGGTCACTAAAGTAAAAGGAAAGGATGGCGAATTACACATTAGAGTAGTCTGGCATTATTTCACGAAGCTAATACTATGCTGTTCTGGGATTGTTTGTGCAACAAGAGAAAACGACATTATACGGCATCTCAGTGACGTTAAGTAGTTCAATCACTAGGCTGTAGACTAATCGAAGCCAGCCAAAACTGGATCTTGGTCGGCCCAGTCTAGTCCGCTACTCTATACTGGAATGGGCTGGAACATCTTTGCGTAACGGAATGAGTTTTGTAATAGTGCCACAAGTGGCAAGCCCGATTGCACATAAATCTGCTGGAAGCGCAGTCGCGGCCATGTAATAAAGTTGTATAGAAACAGAGACGCGGGTCAAGCATAAAGCTCTCCTCACCAGCTCATTAACGCATCATCATTTAAAAGTCAAGCAATGAAGCTGACTACCATCTTTCAATCTGCAGCGCTTGTCGCAGCCTCTCTCACCGAGCTGTCACAAGCCCAAACCTTTACCCCCCGTGGCTTCACAACCCCCAAGCGCAAAGAGCTATGGCAGCCAGAAGTTGGTACACCGTGGCAGATCATCCTCTCTGAAGTCGTCAAAGTTCCCAAAGCAGGCGTTAGCTCTATGACACCAGATGTACCTATCTGGGATATGGATCTCTTCGAGACCTCTAAAAGCACAATAACCACTATGCAGAAGGGAGGGAAGAAAATCATCTGTTACTTCAGCGCTGGTTCGTGGGAGAACTGGCGTAAAGATAAAGACAGTTTCCCAAAGAAAGACCTTGGTAAAGTGATGGATGGCTGGCCTGATGAGAGATGGGTGAATATTAGCAGTGTAGCTGTGAGAGCTATTATGGTGCAACGAATCAAGCTGGCGGCTGAGAAGGGATGTGATGCTATTGATCCTGATAACATGGATGGATATGTAAGTCACCGACGCAACGCTTAGAGCACTCCACTGACCACCACTGTAGCAAAACGACAATGGCCTTGGTCTCACCGAAGAAGACACCGTCTCATATGTCAAGTTCCTCTCCGCAGAGGCAGCCAAGTATAACATGGTAATGGGCATGAAGAACGGAGGAGATGTTACAGAAGAGGTTCTGCCATATGTTGCCTTCTGTATCAACGAGTCTTGCATCCAATATTTGGAGTGCGACTTGTACCAGCCCTATATCGACGCGGGGAAGCCAGTCTTCAACATTGAGTACCCCAAGGGCGCACCAAAGGTGAAGGCTAAGGACAAGAAGAAGATTTGCTCTACTAGCGGTGCAGCAGAAGGATCAGATGACTTTAGTAAGGTCATCAAGAAGATGAACCTGGATAAATGGGTCATGTATTGCTAAGTGTTATGGGAGTATTCAGCACTATCACGTTTTTATTTTTAGCATTTTCCCTTATCTTTCTTATAAAGCATAAAGAATCTTTCTGAAAAAAGGCATTTGAAAGGTTCCTGGGTTACATATAGACACGGAATAGAGTGTCCAAATGGGGACACGCAGATGGCAGAGTATGTCGTGGTATGTATTTTAGTGTCTTCAAGACAGCTGATAACTATATACGTGTAGCTTAAGGCTCAGAAGCCATCATAGAATGGCATGGCAGCTTAGCTAGTGCCGCTGCATCCAACAAAGTTGTTACCGGAAGCACCAGTGTGAGTAATGGCGCCAGCATACTGGCAGCTGGTGTTGATAACAACACGGTCAGCGCCTGGAGAGCCTGGACACATGTCAGAAATAATTTCGATTCGTCGCGACTTCTAACTTACCACCAGTGTAAACACCGCCGCTCTTGATGGGGAATTCCTGGTAGGGACCGTTGACAGGGAAGTCAAAACCCTCGTAGTTGTTGTAAGTGTGAGGGTAGGTGGAGCTGCCAGCAGTGTCGTCGTTCTGGTAGTACTGGCAAGCAGCGTTGGCAGCAGCGCGGACTTGAGAGGCGGAGTAGTTGGTGCTGCCGCAGGTGGTGGCGGATTGACGGCTCTCAATAGGGCTGGCGACAGCCAGGCTGACAAGAGCAGCGAGAGAAGCGATAGACTAAGAACCAGGTCAGCATTGATCGTTTGTAAGCGTGTTCTTTGAGGTATGGCGTACCTTGAAGAAGAGCATCTTGTCAATGAAGTTACAAGAACCAACGATGGATGAGAGCGTGTAGGAATAGTTACATCATTGCTAAGAGCTCCCTCACAGATTTTATAGTTGATGATCTCTATGTCCAGTGTATACTCGGAACACCAAACATATCAGTCCATCGAAACCTCGGTGTCCCAAAACATGTAGATCTTCAGAGAGAGAGGCAGGTGGATGAACCCATGAGTCCGATTGGCCGCATAATTCACTGAGTTTCGAGATAGTATCACCACCTGCTTAATTTGGATGTAGGTCCGGCAAATGGGCAGATGTAGCTGGGCCTAGTCTGGCCAGTCACATCAAAATCCCGCACCGAGAGCGGGTCGTGATCGACATATAACTGTCTCAGCCAGCGCCCATGTGTTGCTCTTATCGCAATCATTGGAGCCCTTTTGTATTTCATCCTCGGAAATCGGATGTGATACGCCGTGTTAGCGCCCAATCGTCTATCTTGTAATTCCGCTTTCCCTTCATCCTGCTTTTCATTTCATGCTCTCTCTCCTTCGCTTCTCATCTCTCTCATTCATCTCTGCCCGGAAAATGACCGACCTTACGAAATTACTGAGCGACAGTTCTGTGTCGGCTCAACAAGCTGCTGAACAGCTCGCGAGCCCTTGCCTGGAGGCTATCAAGAAGAATGAAGACGATTCAAAAATTGAGGGGGAGTTTGACAGTCTCTGGTCTTCGGTGCTCTCCGCTGCCGAGCAGACCCCCCACGACAAGCAAGGGAAGCTAGTGGAAACCTTGCATGCGATAAAGAGCATTCCGCAATCTGCAGAGACAGCCAAGAAGGTTGTCGTTTGGGGTGAGGAGAAGCGCTGGGATGAGCTACCCATGTTTGGGGGCAAGGCACGCGAGCAGCTCGACATCGGTAAGCTCCGCTCTCCGACAATCTCCAAGACATACTGACCCTGATAAGCACAAGAAAAGTCGGATGAAGCCTTTGTCAATATCAACGGCTTCTTTGCGCGCGCAACTACTGCTGGGGTTGATGACCTTAGCCTCTTCGCCATCTGGACCTTGCGCGAGGCGCTTGAGGACCCTGCTGCTGATAAGATCTCGGAGACGTCGCCCAAGCTATTGAAGGCTTCTTCTGTCTGGTTCACCTACGCCGCCGATGCACTTGCAAAGGCGAGCAAGGATGGAAAGCAGTTTGACGGCAAAGTCGCCAAACCGGGTGCTAGCCTGACGGAGTTTAAGGATGAGGCCGGATGGAGGGGCTTCAACAATGACAGATGGAAGGTCTGGCTCGATAGGTTGTCGGCTCTGAAGGAAGCAGATGTCCCAGAGGAAACCAAATCGTTAGTGGTTCAAGCGCTGAGTATGACAAAGGCATAAGTGAAGACATCCTCTAATTAAAACAATACACCGATTTACGATTGACCGTTTACTGCGATTTGCTTCCCTTTTTTGATTCGTCGATGTCAGCCAATGAGAAAACTTACGCCATGTTATGATGTCCGCAGCCTGATTCCGTTTCAACCTGCAGGAAATGTCAGCCGCACATTGAAACCCCTCATCCAGTTCATCATATTCACTACTGGTTTGATAATCGACTGAAAATGGCTCTAGTGATACGAGAAGTCTCCGCGCTGAAGCCGGACATCCGTCTGGCTCAGGCGGTATCAGAGTTTGAAGCAGCGCTTACAGCTGAACAAAAACTCACCTTCAGAGCCTCCCGAACAGCAGCGATCAGCACAGCACCAACCATGTCCGACGTCATGCGTCTCACAGCAGAGATGGACCTCAAGGCAACGAGCAAGCATGGTCGCATACGATGTTTCGGGCCGCGATTAACCAACATGCTTCAGGCTATACAGCAGTTTGCAGCGTTGGGTGACATCGTCGTCGGCGGGTCCCAGAACCTTATCGCATGTGGAGTCTGGTCCGCTGCGAGAATGACTATTTATGTGAGAAGCAACAGTTAATCACTGATATCCGATTCTCACTAATGCTTCTTTCAAGGTAATGACCGGATACTTGACTCATTTAGAGAAGCTCTCAGTCCTATTCATGACTGTCGGCCGGAACGCACCGCGATATCAAGCAATGGCTGCTATATATCCGAAGTCCAAGAACCTGCAACGATACCTTTGTGAATACTTCATTGTTGTCACCAATCTATGTTATCAACTCGTTACTTGGGTTCAAAAGCCAGCTTTGAATCGAATTTCAACTTCCCTCAGAGACCCTGACATGAAAAGCTTTCAGGCAGACCTAGAAACATGGTCCGCGTCTATCAAAGAAGAGGCAGATCTATTGCTTAGCCAACGTTTCCAAGAGGAAGCCAAAGAAAACGCGACCTTCAGATCGATAATATCGTATCGCTCCGAATATATTCACTATCGACAAAGGATGGACAGAAGCATTCGCTTTCTAGACGCTTGCTCGCAGCATGATTATCGCACGACATGGAAGCAAACGCGCAAGCGTGGGACAACTCGGACTCTACCTTCATACCGTGAATACCAGAAATGGAAAAATACTCCGTATGTTGGTAATTCAATTCTTTTCCGTGGCAAGCTGGGGGCAGGGAAATCTGTCCTCCTCGCAAACATCATCGACGATCTAAACCTTCTTCAAAACGCCATTACGCTATACTTCTTTGCGCGCCATGACACTCCAGACTCTCTCAGCTCTCGAACTATCCTCGGGTGTCTAGCCCGACAGCTGTTGGAAAGCTTCGTCAACGATACCAGGTTCGACCACATATTCGCGGAGCGCGTATCTCAACTAGACCTCGATGATATTATTGTGATCTTCAACACCATCCCATCTCATGGTCGACCTGTATATGTCGTAGTCGATGGACTCGATGAATGCTCTACAGAAGAACAAGAAACCGTACTGCGCTGTCTATCATCAATCAAACCCAATGGCTACAAGATCTGCACATCAGTCAGGACTCCTACGGAAAGCTCAGTATGGGAAGGCCAGTCTTTCGAATTTTGCGAGCCTATTCCAGAAGAAAATCAGGACATATCCGACTTCGTGCAAGTTGAAGTCGACCAAAGAGTAAGAAATAAACGACTAGTTACTCTAGACCCGTTGCTAGTCCGAGACATCAAACAGGAGCTCATCGATGGCGCGTGTGGGATGTAAGTACCTGGAAAGCTACAACTTTCTCACAGTCTACTAACAGCTTCTTTTAAAGGTTTCTGTGGGTTGCACTGCAGCTTGATTCAATATGTTCCGAAATATCTGATAGTGCAATACGCGAAGCAATTCGCGACCTTCCGCGGGATCTCACGCAGACATACGAACGAAATCTACTCAAGTCCAGCTCAAGTGACTCCAATGGTTACCACATTAGAATTTTCAAGTTACTCGTGGGCGCCAGAGAGCCGTTGACTACAGAGCAGCTACGAGAAGCTGCTAGTGTCAAGACAGGGCACACCATTTGGAGTCCACAACAGCACATCAGTAACATCCAAGCGGTTCTAAGGTTCTGTGGCTGTCTTGTGATGGTTGACGAAGAAGATGATACAGTCAGGTTCATCCATCACAGTGCTCGAAGTTTCTGCCTCAACTCGCCCAGAAATGCAGCAGAATGGACCTTTACTGAGAGAGAAGCCAATCTTGCCATTGCTGAGACATTGGTGACCTATCTCAGCTACAACGTTTTCGACACTAGGCTGTCTAAGAACGTCGTCCCTAAGATTGACGCCAACCGCATACCTGCAAAGTTTGCGTTGAGTACGATGACAAACCACCAAGTGGGGAGTCGCGTCACGAACAAGTTGTTCAGACTGAAATCTCAAGTTAAACAGAATATCGGCCCAACTCTCGCTGAACTCGGCCCAAGTTATCAAGAGAGCGATGTGCAAGAATTCTTTTTGCTTTCATATGCGAAGAATAACTGGATACGGCATACTTCGCGATTGGAGAGTCTTCCGTCACTTCCCCACTGGTATCATCTACTGGATCACGCAACCTTTGGGCTTAAGGGCGAGGATATCGATGTCGCTGTGCGACAATTTGCCGTGTATACCGATAGTAACATAGGCATATCCCCTTTCAACGCATCATTATACGCGCACCCGCAAATGATCTGGGCAATGTTCAATGGCCACATTCTCCTTCTTAGACATGAGATCATCAAGTATCGTGGAGTAGCAAAGCTACAGGCCTTTGCTTGGCTCTGGCTTCTTGTGACGAAACTCCCAGAACAGGCCCTTTTGCATCTAGACTATCATCTTGCCAGGTGGTTATGTCTGATGCTTATTCGTCTAGGTAGAAACCAGCCAGCTAAGACTCTCCTTTTACGTCGCCTTTCAGCTTCTGATGATTGCTTTGTTAAATATGCTCGTGAAGCTATCATTTCCTCTGACGCCGAAGCCTTTACCTTTTTCTTGAATCGATTCACGGCGGAGGATATTCAGCACTTCAAAGACAGTCCACATCTCACAGAGTGGGCTATATCTTCTGGGAACGCAAGCATGCTCTGTCTCCTAGTAGGAAAAGGCCTAGCGACAGATCCTGTCGTCAACGGGCGTGGCATTAATCAAGCCTTGAAGCTCGACTTTCCAGATGAACTCAAATTCCGCTTGGTATATTACCTTTTCCGTACTGATTTCGACTTTGATATCCTTGGAGAGGATGGGCTTTACAGAGTGATCCAGCTATTTCGCGATTATGCTGCTCTTGAAAAAGTATCCCATATGATTCGAAAGCTCTTCGCTTCTGATAGCCGCATATCCAGTCGAAAACATGAGGTCCTTTTGCGCATGGCATGTATATGGGAGCAATGCGACGTGAAAGAGACTCTGTTACAATTCTCAACTAGTCCCGATACGAGTGCATTGGGAAAAAGTTGTCTAGATATCGCACTTCATGGTCCTTTTGAGGACCGAGAAAGACTTATTTGGACTCTTCTTCAATTCGGAGCACAGCCAACTACGGAAACAGTAGACCAAGCCTTGGAAATGCGATATTGGAATCTTGCATCGTATTTGACAATGCAAATCAAACCTGACAGGCCGAAACCTCATTTCAGCGACGACTCGGCCGCTACCATAGACTCATTCCTCGCCTATGCCGAGCTCAGGGAGGATTTGCATAATCCCATGACGCAGCACTGTCAATTGCATTTATATGTATCGTATGATCGGGAGAATTACCAGTTCTACATCGGACCTCCAGATGCCGGAGATCGCTGCTGGGAAGCCGTTCGTGCTGCAGGAGCCCCAAATTCTCAGTTCACCAAGACGCAGGCACCAGGTTATGCGCGGACTTATGACCAATCTCCAGACACTCAGAGTCGGACTACACTGGCTGTTGAAGTAGCTGTATTCATGATTGATCCAGAATTCCCAGAACAAGACCAGACCACGTGCTTGAGACTTATTACCCCAACCAGCTTGGATGTTATTTCCGAAGTCACCAGAAGATGGCAGTCAACATCGCATATCCTTGACTTGCTAAATACCGACAGCGACTCCGCCATGATGATTGACTACGAAAATTGTTATCCGATCTGGGATAGCATATGCCGAAACGGTGGCTTGGGTCGGTGGTTACTGCCAGATTCATTCTGGGACACTCCAAAGATTCGGGAAGTCGTTGAACAGCGCCACTATCTGATGCGTAGGCAGGTCGAAGACGCCCATCGGGGGCTGCATATCCTAAATAAATGCATTTCTTTGTTACTACTACTACGTGGAACGACGGCACACGACGATGGCGAGATATACCTTCCGTCAATACTCTCCGAAGGGCGATGGTTTCCAGAGGGCATTTCGTCCGATCTTGTGTACATGGGTCTCCGCATTCAATGGTTAAGGGCTTTAGGGGTCATGTTTGACAGCGGGTTTCTTTCAAAGGCCAATGTTACTGAGCAATTGTTAGTAGAAATGGGCAGTATGGCTGAGATCCTGCCTGGAATGATTGACATGCACGAAGGACTGAAGTATCGTCTTCACTACCACAACATCATGCCTGATATTCTCGAAGCAGCCTTCCTCGGTGCTGAGGGTAGGGGGGTTCTCGCCGGTCTGCTTCGTCAGATGAATCAGTGGACCATAGAGGTTTGCCACTGGATTGAAACAGTGGACACAGAAGTGTTTATGTTGTCTATGGGTGAGAATGCGCCTCTATCGTTCGCAAGAGCATTCCAATCATTCCGCGAAGTGGGTGCCACTGATGAACAGATGGAGATGCTAGAACGATCACTGGATATTGCTAGGGGGAAAGTACCAGAGCTAGAGTGACTACTTATCTGATATTTCTTATTCACAACTTCCCCTTCAACGGGAACACTGCCCAACGCCCTTTTGCTTTTGCATATTCCTTTCCATTCCCATCCTTAATTACCGCGTAAACCACCAATGAAGCTCCGTCATCTGATATATCTCCCATACTCGCTGTGATCTGAATGACCTTGGGAACTCGTAGCGGTCGGAGATATTGAACTTCCATGCTTTGGGCAGCTATCATATTCGCTACCAAGTCGAGCATTCCAGGGTTTGTTTTAGGCGAACATCTCCCGGTAACTTTGGTAGGTATCATGCCATTTTGCAAGCGAGCGTTGGCAATGCCCAGAACGCCCATGACATCATATAGAAGTGTTGCTTGAACGCCGCCATGGCAAATTTCTCCAAAACCGCAGACACCATCGCCCAAGGCGCAGAATACAGTGCAAGTCTCAAGGGGGAGCCAGCGCGTCTTCGATTCGGAATTCAGAGTCGGCGCGGATGAAGGGTCGTGGAACAGCACGATGCGATGAGAGATGGTCGACAGTGAATTCAGTGTCTCGCTAAACAGCTTTCCGGTACTTCCACGGCCGTCTTGTTCCTCGTCCAATCTGGGAACGGCAACTGCATCAGGATGTATGAACTGATTGCGGCACCACGGTATGTCAAAGAAGTAATCGACATCTTTTTGACCACCAGGCACAATCTTTGGACCAGACATCTTTAGTGCAAGGTCGATGAGCTCAATCAAGTAACAAGTGATATGTTGTGAAGCAGTAAGGACAGCGGTTCATGAGAGGAAGTGATGATAAGCGAGGGAAACAGAGGTAAAAGCCTCCCTGAAATTTTGTGGCAATCTGATAGAGCTGAAAACAAGGCATCAATGTCGTAACTTGTCTCTGGTGAAGCTATTTAGTGTGATTGGCGTAGCTGAAAGGCTTAGCACTCAGGGCTTGGTAGCTGAATTGCTGAATGTGGTAATCCAGACTACTAGCCCTGTTGCCATGTAACAGATTTCTATACATGGCATGTTCAGCGCCATCGAGTCGGCAAAAGTAGGCAAAGTATGGGAGGCATATAATGTAAAGGTCTCCAAAGCTTGTTTTAAAGGTAAACTAATTTCTTTCTCTTTCATATTCATATATCCAACGGCGTGTGATGCAAACATCAGCTGTCGAACAAGTCAACTCAAAACGACACTCTCATAATCATCGTATCAGACGAAAACTCAAAAACAAACTTGTATCCTTGAAATTGTACTAGAACTAGCTTACGCTATGGTCGTCTACTTCTTCAAAGTACCCGCAATTTGAGGCTTCAAGTACTTCGCAATGTAGTCATCGTTCTTCCAGCCCGACCAATCAGCCTTCTTCAGTCCCCAAGAATCATCAAACTCCTGAATACCCTGACGAGTATAGTACCGACCAACAATAACCCAAATGAACCAACTAGCCTTGATCTCAGGCAGATACTGCGACAAGCAGCTCACATAAGTGTTGGCGGTATTGTAATCAGCACCATTCATAGCTTGGCCAAACTCAGTCAACATGACGGGGAAAACCTCAGCGACGTTGGGGTCGCTCTCGTTCATGGCCTGGAAACCCTTGTTGTAAAGGTTGTAGCGAAGGGAAGAGCAGCTGGTTCCACTGTTCTCGTAGTTGTGAATCTCAAGAACGAGCTTATCCTTGCCGTAGCCGACAAAGTCATCTCGGTTGAAGACTTCACCTCCGGGCTGGAGCTTCTCACCGGAGTAGAGGGGAGTGACGTAGGTGTCGTAGTTCATGCCGGAGATGACGATGATTGTATTAGGGTCGGCTTCGTGGACTGCATCGGCACCTTGGCGCATGTACTTGTAGAGATCACTCCAGTTGTATGACTTGTCGCGGAGGGCATTGTTGTTGGTGGGCTCACGGGGCTCGTTGCGCAGAGACTGGGTGATCTTGGCGGGCCAGTCCTTGCTCTGTTTATAGTCAGTATAGATCCCATGAGGCTGGCGATAGGGAAGGATATACGTGAGCTGCCATGAACTTGCCACCTCGAACCCAATTGTCGACATTAAATTGAGTGTCTCCCCACCAAGTGTTGCCGTCTGTACCTCCGCAGCACCACTTAGCCTCGGAGATGTGGTTGTCAAGGTCGATGTAGATTTGTTGACGAAGACATTCAGCAGCAATGGCGTCGTAGACCTAAGACTGTTCAGTATTATCTCTATTGACAGAGTGTCAATTAAACATACCTCGAGACGTGTTGTCTGAGCTGTGAAAGAAGGGTTGTTCTTCAACACCTTCTGAAGAATGATTGTACCATTCTCCTTTCCAAGACCTTCCTCAAAGGCAGTCTGGAGGTCAACATCTTTGCCATTGTTGGCATAGATCTGATCAACAAGCTCAGTGGCAAAGGTGAGGCGAATGGCGTTCATGCCAATGCTCTTGATATCAGAGAGAATATCCTTGATGGACTGGTACTGCAGACCTTCAGGCACCATGACTTCGCCGTGGCCAGGCCAGTTGGCTCCAGCGAGGCTGATCTTGTCACCATTGGCGTTGACAATCCAACGACCCTCTGTTTTGAAAGGTCCATTGGGCCATGCTGCTACAGCATTGCCAATGAGGGAGCTCAGTGCCAGGAGAGGGCTGACGAATAGCTTCATGGTGGAGAAAGATGACGAAGCTGGGTGTTTGATCCTGATTCGAAGAAACAAACTTGCATGAGAATCTCCCAGACCTTATACTTTTTCCGATACGACACCAAATTAAACTCAAAACCACCGACGCTCCGGAGCGGACCGAGCGTCTTGGCAGTTCTCATCTCGCGCAGCAACACCTGACGTATGCCCTCCTGAACTAATGATACGAGCAGCAGGGGTTAAAAGCTGGGGAAGACAGATATTCCCCCAATCCAGGGAAACAAGTGTGTCGATCTTGACGCTATTCAGATGCTTGTCTCCCCCGCACAATAAACATCCAGCGTCGATGCGACCCTGTGCGCTTTCGGCTCCGGTATCCCCGACCCCGCAAAATTCCTGGTTAGTGATGCGGGGTGGCTGTCACGAGTCTGAGTAGCGTGAGGGATCCTCGGCATTGGAGGCGCTAGAATAGGAAATTCTGGGCTTCGGAGCATTTGGGAGCGAGAATACAATCGTGAGAGGTGCGGATGAACATGCGGAGATCTTCCCTTAATAAGGAGAACAGCCAGGACCGTGCGGGTGAAAAGGCAGAATGATCCGTTACGGAATGTCAAGCCGATTAGTCCGCTTAACTCACAACTTTGGCAGCGATATCTCCATGGTAATCCTAATGCCTCTCCTCAGGAAGTAGAACATCAGACCTTGATATAGGTGTCAAAATGGATTCAATAAAGGATATCCTAAGTCTGTACTAAATTCATCCTAAACCTCATCCTAAACTTATGCTAAGTTACCTAAGTCTTATTGTCACTTAGGATCAAGGTCCTGAGTTTTCTCTCCTCCACTAGCCTCCCTACTTTTTCAGCCTTTACAACCCTACAGCTACAGTTAACATGTGATGTCACGTCAAATCGACCTCGTTAGGGTAGGCAGCTATGATCCATCATAAACCATCCTCAATCATGAAGTCGCCATAGCATTGGAACGTATCTGCATGAAATATCACATGAAAAACGATACCTCAAGCTTGAATATCCTCTTTATAAAAGTGTTATCGTTTTGATAGTCGTGATTGCCATTCCGGCATCGTGAGTAAGCTCCGCGTCAATGCCATCTAAGCAGTCGTAGTCTCAGGCTTCTGCCCCCAAACAACCTTTTGAGCAAAGTATCCGTGATGCTTTCCAGAGCGAATCTCTCTTCGGAATTGGGCAACGTAAACAAGAATCTCCTCTCTCGTCCATCCAAGTGTATGCGCCATAAACAGAATGAAGCCCTCGCTATCTGTCTCAAGACCATACTTTGAGTATGCACCCATGCGCTTCTCAACAGGGTCTTTGGGCCAAGTGCCAACGGGGTTCTGTCACATCCATTAGTCTCCTTAGCTCAAAAGCGCAGAGGGACAACTCACTCTGAAGTCGAATTCTTGAATGTTGATAAAACCGGCTTTTTCCATAGCCTTGCGCTGAGTACCGTCTTCGACGACGCTAAAGCTTGTACCAATCTTCTTACCGCCCTCCTTGAAGAATTCACCCCAGTGACCCATGGCAGAGTCAGGGGCGACAGTACCATCATCACTGCTTACGTTGCAAGAAGCTTCGTGGCTTTCAATCCAGGCGCCGGGTTTACAGACTCTGTAGGCTTCAGAGAAGAAGGCGTCCCAATCACGTACGCTACCCATCAACCATCTGACGTGGATGTAATCGGCAAAGTCGGACTTGAAGGTCCATTCGCGGGTACAGTCTTCGATTTCACTACACAAGACTTAGCTTAGTTGGACGACTTGGAGACATCACGCACAATTGAACATTAGGGGGAACCCAAGAGGGTTGAATGGGAGAAAGGTCGGTTCCGATAATCTCAGCGCCAGGGTATTGGTCGGCAAAATCACTAAATATCTGTTAGATGATACAGGCAATTGAATGGCGCAACTTACATAGCCCAGATACCAGTACCGGTTCCGATGTCGATAGCTTGCTATAGAATGGGTGAGTATTGGTTGAGAGAGGCACACGTGAGCAACGTACATGAAGCTTCTCTTCTTTTAGGGGAGCCAGGTGAAGTTTATCTCCAAGACCAAGGGTAAGGATATGGTGACTGATGACAGGTTAGATACTGAGGGAAAGGTTGTGCTGTGCTGTCAACTTACGTGAGATCCATCAAATCATTTTGCTGTTCGTCATTGGAGGCCCTTGAAAACATTAGAATTATGAGGATGTCGAATTGAGATGCTGGTACTATACCAGTACTGAGCATTGCCCTGCTCGCTATGATAAGTGCGACCATGGATAGTCCTGTATTCCAGAATGCTAGAGGTGATGGAAGCAGTAGACGAGGCGTTATCCGGGTCGAGGGTTGAGTCAGCATCGGTATTGTCATCACCTGCACCCTCAGC